CAAACCTGTGTGTAAGAATGACCTGTGTAGAATTTTATTTTTATTTATTTTTTTAATCCTTACACAAGGATATTTTTCCATTTATCATCAGATAGAGTGGGAGGGAGGGAGAGAGAGAAATATCAGTGTGAGAGAGCCACATCGACTGGCTGCCTTCTGCACGACTCGACCAAGGCCGAGATAAACTGCAATCGAGGTACAGGCCCTTGGCTGGAATCAAACCCGAGACTCATTGGTCTGCAGGCCAATACTCTCTACTGCTGAGCCAAACCGGCCAGGGTCTGTGAAGATTATTATTATTATTTTTTTTAAGCCTAACCCGAGGACATTTTTGCATTTATCTTCAGATAGAGTGGGAGGGATAGAGGGAGGAAGAGAGAGAGAGAAACATTGATGTGAGAGACACATCGAGTGGCTGCCACCCACACGACCCCAACCGAGACTGGGGACAAACTGCAACCGAGGTACGTGCCCTTAGTGGGAACTGAACCCAGGACTCTCTGGTCCATGGGCTGATGCTCTAGCTGCTGAGCCAAACTGGCCAGGGCTGTGAAGATTTTTAAAAACAGATTTCTAGGTCGCACCTCCTGGAGATTCTGTATTTTGAAAGGGTAATTCCAAAGTATGTAAACATATTTGAGTCACTGAAGTAGTGTTCTGTTTGTCATATGGAGAGGAGGGGGTTGAGTGGGGAGGATATGAGAATATAAGAACATGAATGGCACTGGCCGGTTTGGCTCAGTGATTAGAGTGTCAGCCCGCGGACCAATGAGTCACGGGTTTGATTGCTGCCAAGGGCATGTACCTCGGTTGCAATTCGTCCCTGGCCCTAGTTGGAGTCGTGCAAGAGGCAGCCACTCGATGTGTCCTTTTCACGTTGATGTTTCTCTCTCTCTCTCTCTCTCTCATCCTCTCTCTCCCTCCCACTCTATCTGAACAAAAATGGAAAAAACGCCCTGGCCAGTTTGGTTCAGCAGTTAGAGCATCGGCCTGCGGTCCTGAGAGACCCGGGTTCGGTTCCCGCTAAGGGCGTGTACCTCAGTTGCAGTTTGTCCCTGGCCCTGGTTGGTCGTGCGGTGGCAGCCACTCGATATGTCCCTTTCACGTCGATGTTTCTCCCCCTCTCTCTCTCTCTCTCTCTCTCTCGTTCCTCTCTCTCCCTCCCACTCTACCTGAACAAAAAATGGAAAAATGTCCTCAGGTGAGGATAAAAAAAGGAAAAAAAGAAAAAGTCCTCGGATGAGAATTAAAAAAAAAAAGAATATAAATGGCCCTAGCCAGTTTGGCTTAGCGGTTCGAGCATCGGCCTGCAGACCAGAGAGTCCAGAGTTCGGTTCCCGCTAGAGGCACGTACCTCGGTTGCAGTTTTTGTCCCCGCCCCGGTTGGGATCGTGTGGGTGGCAACCAGTCTGTGTGTCTCTCTCTCATTGATGTTTCTCTTTCTCTCTTCCCCCCTCTCTCCCTCCCGCTCTATCTGAAGATAAATGCAAAAATGTCAAAAATGTCCTCAGGTGAGGATAAAAAAATTTTTAAAAAGAATATGAATGAATAAATTTGGGCTAATAACTAAGTCAGGGCTGGGTGTGGCTGAAACCCACTGCATGAGGCAAGAGGCACATCTACGTATAAAAGTGTTTTTTTTTGTTTTTTTTTTATCCTCACCCAAGGATATTTTTCCATTTTTTGTACAGATAGAGTGGGAGGGAGAGAGAGGAAGGGAGAGAGAGAGAGAGAAACATCGACGTGAAGGGACACATCGAGTGGCTGCCACCCGCATGACCAACCAGGGCCGGGGACAAACTGCAACCGAAGTACGTGCCCTTAGCGGGAACTGAACCCAGGTCTCTCCGGACCACAGGCCGACGCTCTAACCGCTGAGCCAAACTGGCCAGGGCCTAAAAGTTTTATAAACATGAAAATTAAGCACATTTGCATAAAGCATCAAAGAAAAAAAAAACTGCTCTTTTCGCTAACTATATTCAGTGACTTTCTTTACATACAGAAAAAGGAGCCCTGGCCGGTTTGGCTCAGTGTTAGAGAGTCAGCCCGCAGACTGAAGAGTCTCAGGTTCGATTCCGGTCAAGGGCACATACCTCGGTTGCGGTTCAGTCCCCGGCTCTGGTTGAAGTCATGAGGGAGGCAACCAGTCCATGTGTCTCTCATATCGATGTTTTTTCTCTCTCTCCTCCACCCCCACTCTATCTGAAGATAAATGGATAAATATCCTCAGATGAGGATTATAAAAAAAACAAAAAGAAAGAGGAGGGCTCTTAGCAATAGATGTAATAGCAGATATACTCATTTTAAAATCATAAGCAGTTGGTATTTCCCATACATGCTGTACTTTTTTATATAAACAGAATTTGATTTTAGTTCATATGCTATCAGGCATAAATATATTTAAAGGGATATCATGATTTTTTTGTTTTGAATATATGAGAAAGAGGACACATAAATATATTGTTCAATATAATGAAGAATTAAAAAGGACTGAGCCAAGTTCTACTTTAGAAAATTATTAGATAGCTGAGAAGATAGTGGAAGCAGGCCAAATAGGCTATATTTCAGTTAAGGACTTTATAGACAGAGACTTTTCTGTGAATATGTTACTGTCTAACATTCCTAAAGCTTTAGTGGCTTTTTTTTTTTTTTTTAAAGTATCACATACTACTAATAACCTTTTCATATTGTTAGTCTGTTTTTTTTTTTGTTTTGGGGGGTTGCTTTTTTTTTTTAATCTGCCCATTACTCTTAACCAAGCATTTTCCTATGTGTCTTTTAGAACAGTGAAATTTATTTAGTGGATGGATTAGCAGGACATTTAAAGTTTTAGTCCCTGCTTGCCTCTGCAGTAAGGCTACTATTTGAGAATGAGCAGCTTATGTTACTTAGTTCCATCTCTGAAGGGGTTAGGGGTTATCATTAATATGTGTTAAATATTATTATATTAAATGCTCTGAAATGTTTTGAGGTCTGATTGGCATTCTAAAATTGGGAGAATACTCTTAATTAGAGCACTAACTCTTAAAAGCAATATCATGGCCAGCTGGTGTGGCTCAGTTGATTGAGCATCATCCCAGGGACTGAGAGGTCCCAGTTCGATTCCTGGTCAGGGCTCATGCCTGGGTTGTGGGCTTGATTCCTGGTAAAGGGCATGCAGGAGGCAGCCGATCGATGTTTCTCTCTCTCTCTCTCCCTTCCTCTCTCTCTTAAAAAAAAAAGGCACCCTGGCCGGTTTGGCTCAGCGGTCGGAGTATTGGCCTACAGACCAAAGAGTCCCGGGTTCGGTTTCCGCTAGGGGCACGTACCAAAAAAAAAAAAAAAGGCAATATCATGTGTTCATTCTTGGGGGTTCATCCCAGGGTACCATTGAGGGGAAATTGTTATGACTGGAGTTCTTCTAATGTCTCTGGCAACTACACTTTTAAAAATATGGTCCACTGTTATAGTCAGATTGCATTGCATTTCATGTAAGGAATTAAAGTGGTTGAGACCCAGGATGCCCTTAAATAGGTCATGCAATTAGGAAGAAAAGAGTCACTGTCTTCTGTCCTTTGATCTGCTGTACTTCAGTAACCAGGACCCTATTTTGCCCTAAGTCATCTGGATACATCAAAATAATGTATTTTTCATCAGAGTTACAGTCACTCTGATACTTACAGTTGTGTAAACCTGACTTTCATTCATGGACTTTCCTAGACTCACGTCCATCATTTGAAAAAAGAATGATTTTGACATTGTTTAAAAAATATTAATTTTGTTGATTTGTTTTTTCTCTTATGAAAATGTATCTATAGTATTAAAAAAGATTTTTAGTGAATTTATTATGTCCTTTAATATCCCCCCCAAAAAGGCATTATTTATTCCAGGTGTGAAATTATTTACAATAAACATGTTAACTCATTATATGTGATAATACAATATATGGTCCTTGATATATTTCTATAAAGTAAAGGTTCCACTTTAATTCTAGGACTGTTATTCCACATGACTCTTTTTGTTTTTTCTTCTCCCCCTTCTCCTCTAGACTTCTCCAGAGAACCCTGGGACAGTAGGTGGAGTGCAAAGCTATATTGTGTTGCCTTCCTGCTTTTTTTTGTTGTTGCCTTCCTGCTTTTTAAAATTATTATTATTCTTGGCCCAGTCTTGGCTGCTCCTTTCTCTGCCACTAAAGCTACCTTACTAAAACCTGCATGTATAGTCACTATGAGGGACTTATTTATGATCTTTCATTTGAATCCTGCACATTTATCATGTCAGTTATATTTCTCATGAAATCCTTAAAATCAGGATTGTCTCTAAAGCAGTACTGTGATAAGCAAACTGGAATCTCACCACTACTTCCAAAAAAATGTCCTTCCATTTTAAACCACTCCTTCTATGCCCTTACCCCTTACTCCAACCCCCTTCCAGTGCTCCAGAACTCCCTAGGGTCTTGTGAAGACAGAAAATAATCTGAAGAACAGATGCAAGTAGGATATTAACACTTCATGTGTCACCCACTCTCTGAACCGTTTATATTCTGAAAGAGGAAGACAGGGAGAGGGCAGTGTTTAACAAAGAATAATGACACGCAAACGGTGGAATCCCCTTCCTCAGTGACATGGGAGATAGTAGTGTTGGCTGGGAAAGGCCTTCCCCCATGTCCAAAGGATGAGAATGGCAACAACAGTAGGTTCCACTGGGGCAAGATCTCATGCATATTGGGAAAACATCCACATTTGTATGTGTGTCTTCAAGAGATTTTGAGCTTATAATCATCTCATTGAGTTTTTGTCCTAAAATGATGTTAGCTTGGTTGGTTCCTTTTCCTCCTTATTAGTTTATCTGTTCTGGATCTTGATGTTTGGTGTCCATGTGACATCAAGGAGTCTGTCTCTGCATGATGATCATTGCTTTGATCCTTTCCAACTACCACAGGAAGAGAAGGGCAGGGACAATATCCAGATTATGCCGAAATAATAAATTGCCTATTCTCTTCCCTCCCTCTCACCATGCAGCAGAGGAAGCAGGCCAGCCCACTGCCGACCCAGGCATGATCATGGACAGTGTGGAAGCGGGAGGAGACACGACGCCTCCCACCAAAAGGAAGAGCAAGTTCTCAGGCTTTGGCAAGATCTTCAAACCCTGGAAATGGCGGAAAAAAAAAAGTAGTGATAAATTCAAAGAAACATCAGAAGGTGAGATATTAAGATTTAGATATGTGTTCTCAGTTAAAGAATTCCCTATTTTGGAACCTAACTTTTTCAGTCTTTTCCCAAGCTTCAGTAACCTTCGGAAGAGGGAATTTAATCTTTTAGAATTAAAAAACCAAGTGGTCACTCACTAAGCATTATATTATAGCCTCATTCCCAGGATGGTGTTTTGCTGGGACTAAAGTTTATCAAGTGTTAAATGGCGTTCCTAAACTAGCAAATCTTAGATGCTTCTTTTTTTCCTACTCTGGCCACTTTCTCCCAGAGAAAGTTCTTTCATAAATACCTTGTTACTGACATTTTAATTAAAAAAGAAAAAGATAAAATTATATAAGGATAGTTCCTTTTGGAAATGCTACTTATTTAATAGCATAGCATATAAGAGAGATTAAGTTTTTTTTTTTTTTTTTTTATCCTCACCCGAGGACATTTTTCCAGTTTTTGTTCAGATAGAGCGGGAGGGAGAGAGAGGAAGAGAGAGAGAGAGAAACATCGACATGAAGGGACATATCGAGTGGCTGCCATCCGCACGACCAACCAGGGCTGGGGACAAACTGCAACCGAGGTACATGCCCTTAGCGGGAACCGAACCCGGGTCTCTCAGGACCGCAGGCCGATGCTCCAACCGCTGAGCCAAACTGGCCAGGGCGAGAGATTAAGTTTTTTAATTTAAAGTTAGTTTTCCTTTTCTTTTCTTCCCTCAGACTAGAACATTGAACCACTTAATACTTTTACCTGTGGAGTTAGACTGTTTAAAGTTGACCTTTAACTGTCACATTTCTGAATGTTGTTTTCTAATTTTATGTTAGTTTTAGAGCGAAAAATCTCTATGCGAAAACCGAGAGAAGAGCTGGTTAAAAGAGGGGTTCTGTTGGAAGATTCTGAACAGGGTGAGTTTGTAAACAAGTAGCATATGCCTGTCTGTACACTTGGTCTTTGGTTCTAACAAGGTGTTTGAATTTTCTTTCTTTCCTCTGCTGTTGATGGGAGTGAGGAGGTGAGCTTTAAAAACAACAAAAACTGCCAGCAGTGTGGCTGAGGTGGTTGAGTGTTGTCCCATGCACCGAGAGGTTTCTGGTTCAATTCCTGATCAGGGCACATGCCCAGGCTGCAGGCTCGATCCCCAGTAGGGAGCATGCAGGAGATAGCCAGTAGATGATTCTTACTCATCGATGTTTCTCTCTCTCTCTCCCCCTCTTCCTTCCTCTCTCTATAAAATAAATAAAAACATTTTTAAGAGAAAAAAAAAAAAGTGTAATGAATATTACTTTTTTTTTTTAATCTTCACCCGAGGATTTTTTTGCATTTATCTTCAGATAGAGTAGGAGGGAGAAAGGGAGGAGGAGAGAGAGAGAGAGACATCGATGTGAGAGAGACACATCAATTGGTGGCCTCCCAAATGACCCCAACTGGGGCCGGGATCGAACCTGCAACCCAGGTACGTGCCTTTGACCGGGAATCCAACCCAATACCCTTCATTACCTGGGCCGATGCTCTAACTGATGAGCCAAACCATGTGTAATTTTTGTTTTATCATGCCTCTGCTTATGTTTTTTACAATAGGACACAAAATCTTCTAGGTGTGTAGGTGATTAACTACAATTATAACTCCTCGGTTGCAGCACCTTTGACCCTTGCTTTTTGAAAAATCTTTATTGGCCCAGCCAGTGTGGCTCAGTGGTTGAGCATCAACCCATGCACCAAGAGGTCACCAGTTCAATTCCCAGTCAGGGTACATGCCCGGGTTGTGGGCCCGATTCCCAGTGAGGGGCATGCAGGAGGCAGCCAGTCAGTGTTCTCTCTCATCGATGTTTCTATCCCTCTCTCTTTTTTCCTTCCTCTCTCTCTAAAATCAATAAAGAAAATATTTTTTAAAAAATCTTTATTGTTGAAAGTATTACAGATATCCCCTCTTTTTTCCCCCATTGACTCCCTCCTCCCCATTCCCACCCCCCTCCTGCTTTCCCCAAACTATTATCTGTCTTCATTGATTATGCATATATGCATATAAGCTCTTTGGTTTATCTCTGCCCTTGCTTTTTTGATAACTAGGCATTCCTTGCTCCATGCCCTTCCCTGCCTCTCACCTTTCTTGCTCAGTCACCACAAACCTCCTACATTACTTCTTGTTTTTCGCCTTTATTCAGTCTCTTTTGCCCTCTGCTTCCTGTTGGCTCTTGATCTAAGTTGTTTTTAGCCTAGGAGCTAAAAGGCCCAATTGATAAATGAGTTGCAGCCATTGGACAAGATGCTACTCTGTCAACCAGAGAACTGACCTAAGCTTTATTCTGTAAGAAGAAGCTCAGGATGGGCCTCAGGGCCGGCTTATATAGTTCCGGTTCAGGCCAAAAACAGTGTTTGAACCTTAAGGTTCTTTTCATATTTGAAGATGGGTTTTGGCTTGATTATGGTTCTAACTTGACTATATTATGAAACACTTTGATTTTCTTAGAGGGGGGCATTTATAGGTATTAAAGCCAGATACGACTGCTCCACTTTGTCAGCATTGCAGAAATCCTAAATATAAGAAATTTTACTTAAAAGTAGACAATCCTGTTTAAGTAACAAGAGAGAACTGATCACTTTTACATATATTTTACTAGTATGTGCTGAGTAGAAACCAATTAATAATGTGTCTTAACCTTTCACTATATGGCTTTCAAAAGTAGCAGTGTGGCCCTGGCCGGTTTGGCTCAGCGGTTGGAGCGTCGGCCTGCGGTACAGAGAGACCCGGGTTCGGTTTCCGCTAAGGGCACGTACCTCGGTTGCAATTTGTCCCCGGCCCTGGTTGGTCGTGCAGGTGGCAGCCACTCGATGTGTCCCTTCACATCGATGTTTCTCTCTCTCTCTGTTCCTCTCTCTCCCTCCCACTCTATCTGAACAAAAAATGGAAAAATGTCCTCGGGTGAGGATAAAAAAAAAAAAAAGTAGCAGTGTGTGTTGGCATTGAAATGATTCATTGCTTTATATTCCAGAAAGACCTGTTTTTGTTAAAGCTGGTCTATATTAACATAAGCAGTAATGTACTACATTTGCATAATTGTCATCTTGCCCCTCCCCCCTTTAAAAAAATAAAGTAGTTATCAGATTACCTCAGCTTTAGAAGTACATTTTTATTTAGTGCTTATTTGCCTTAGTCTCTCCACTACTTTTAGCTCAAGCTCCACCTATTACTTAGAATGATACTATCGCCCAGCCATTGTGACTCAGTGGTTGAGTGTCGACCCACGCACCAAGAGGTCGCCTGTTCGATTCCTGGTCAGGGCACATGCCTAGGTTGTGGGCCCGATCCCCAGTGGGGGCATGCAGGAGGTAGCTAGTCAGTGTTCTCCTTGTTTCCATCTCTTTCTTCCTCTCCCTTCCTCTCTCTCTCTCAAATCAATAAAGAAAAAAGAATTTTTTTTTTTAAATAGGATGTGGGAGACTGATTGGTCTGAGCACTTGAAGGGGTAACTCAAGAGACATTAAAATGGTACTCCCCAGTGTCTCACTACGGAAAGCAAAGGACACCATCTAGAGAGCAACTAGTTTCAGTCCCCACACTAGGAGATAAGACAGAGACTTTAGTCTCTAACTTTAGTTTTTTAACTTCTCCTCCAAAGGCATCTAGTAAAACCTCAGCAGTAGCTGGGAATGTGTGTCTAATTGCTCCATGAAGGAATCTTACCTACAATTTTCATAGTGATAAGTGGTCATCCCAAAGCCTCCAGCCTAGAGATCATTCCTGCAGTTTAGTTTGTAGGAATTTATCACATATATCTTATTTATCTATGATCCGTCAGTTATACCTCTTGCTGTCCACTCCTAATGCCCGCAGGCATACTCTGCTATTTCTCACCTATATTTTAACAGTAGCTCATTATTAGTTTTCCTCTTCCAATCACTGCGCAATCCATCCTCTTCACAGTTCTGAGTTAACCTTCTAAAAGAGAGATTAGATCAAATCTCTCTCCTACTTTAATTCATTGGCTTCCTATTACCTACAGGATTCAGTCCAGGCTTTTTTACATGTTTGGTATCCTTCATAGCTTGGCTCTTACTTGCTTCTCCAGTCCTGTTCATAACTTTTCCTTATATGCATCTATTCTCCTGTCAGACCTAACTAGTTGCCAGTTCCCAGACACATTGAATAATTTCACACCTTTATACATGCAATTTCTTCTTCCTAATAGACTCTTTCATCATCTTGTTATCAGTCTAGTAGGCTCTTACCCATCCTTTAAGACCTAGTTTAGCTACCACTTTCTGTGAAGCTTTCCTAACCCCATTCCCACCCCAAGAAAATTATTTCTTCTTTATTCCTAACACTGCATCCATTATAGCTTTTAACATTTAGCATTACAATTACTTTTGTATAATAAGTCTATCTTAATGCACCTGGCACAGAATAGGCAATCTAATGTCTATTTTAAAAAGGAATTACTTCATTCCCACTACTACTGTAAAGATCCAAATAATAATAATATTCTGGATCTAAATAGTAAGCTAAAAAGGAAGAGGGGGGTATATAGGATAAGATGACCACTCCAGTTTCATCAGTTTGTTCTTTTATTTTGGACCTTGCAGGTGGTGAGGATCCAGGGAAGCTGAGCTATGCCATGTTAAAGAATGGCCATACCACCCCCATAGGGAATGTCAGATCTTCTAGTCCTGTTCCAGTAGAGGAGGAGCCAGGAAGAATAGAAAGTCTTGGGAAACCTGTTCCAGAAGAGGACCCAAAGAAGCGACTAGGTAAGAAACTGGATTTTTGCGTTTAAGAGACATGGATCAGTCATTCACGTTTACCTCAGGGATTTGCAAGAGCAAAAGGAAAAATAAAATCCAGAGGGAATTCTGTTCTCTAGCAATTCCTCAACTAGTTGTAACTTTAAGTAGAATTTCCCCCCTCTCGTTCTTTCATGCACAAAGTATCAAAATTTGTGATTCTCAAGGACCGAAGAGGATGTTCACTATCAGACACCTGTAGGACTTAAGGTACATATTTTTTCTCCTCCACCCCAGGGATTCTATTGTGCCTCCTCTGGATCTTATGTGAAGAATCACTATGATAACAAGTCTCTCTCACTGGTTGACAAGGGTCATAGGCCTTAAGTATGTTGAGATTAGAAAACTTTTGCCTGTAAACTAATCTATAAATTAAATAATGGATGAAGTTAACCATAAATTATTAGCTTTTTGAGTCTGTGTTTTTACTTTCTTCTCTTTTAAATCATATCTGTTATTACACAGGCTCAACTGGAAGCCAGCCTAATTCTGAAGCAGAGTCTGTTCCTGAGAATGCACCCAAACAGCCTTTAATTCCCCCTAAAAGACCATTGTCCTCTTCTCATGAAGCAAATGAAGGGCAAGCAAAGGATTCCACTCCCTGTGTGAACACAGCAAGGTCCATCTCCTCCATCTCTACTGCCGCCGCCACCACAGCACCTGCTGCCACTGCTACCACCACAAACCTACCAAAAACTGTTATTAATTCCTCTGTCCCCCCTTCCCCAGCACCCAGGACTCTGCCTGCTGCTCCTGCCAGCACTAACACTACTGCTACCCCAAGCCTCCCTCATACAGTCCCTGCCAAGCAGCCCCCTGTTCCTCCCCCTAAACCAACTCACAGAAATAGCAACCCTGTCATTGGTAAGTAAGTCTTTAGGTTTCCAGGGTTTGAGGTGGGGTTGGGTTTGGGATGGTTGTTTTATTGGATAACTGGTCCAGTATTGATTTGGTTTGTGTGTTTCCATATTTTATTCCTTTGAAATGCACTCAATATAGAAAAAAGTCTTGAAGATGAGGCAGGTGACTATGAGTGGAAACAGGCTGATGTCAGATACCACTAAAATTAGGTTCAGGTGTATGGGGATTTAGATCTATTTTCCTAAAACAGTGTTTCTCAAACTATATATATAGTTGGGGGGTGCTGGGCATGTGAAGACCACAACAAGTTTGACCAGCGTGAAGAAAAAATATTTCTTTTAACCTACTTGAAATGGCCAGTGCATTTCTTCAGCATAAGCCCAATAGATGAGAAGATGATTGTAAAGATGCCTATAACTTGTGAGTCATTGTCTGACATATCTTCAAGGGGAACTGCAAAAAATATTATTTAAATTATTCTGATGAAATCATATTTTATCTTGAGAGAGTTAAGAATGTTACTCTTTTGGTGGTGGAAGAGACAAAGGGAGGATCATTGGTTTTAGTAAATTTTTTTTTTTTACCCTCACCCAAGGACATTTTTGCATTTATCTTCAGATAGAGTGGGAGGGAGAGAGGGAGAAACATCAACGGGAGAGAGACACATCAAGTGGTTGCCACCCACACGATCCCAACTGGGGCCAGGGACAAACTACAGCTGAGGTACATGCCCTTAGCGGGAACGAACCCAGGCCTCTCTGGTCCGTGTGCCAATGCTCTAACAGCTGAGCCAAACCAGCCAGGGTGGTTTTAGTAATTCTTTAGATTTACCTGAAGTCCTTTTTAAGTCTTTTTTCTTGACATAAATGCATGCCTTATTAGAGGAATTTTTTTTTCTTTTTTTTCCTACTAATCCTTATCCAAGGATATTTTTCCATTGATTTTTAGAGTGGAAGGGAAGGAAGGGGAGAGAGAGGGAGAGAAACGTTGATGTGAGAGAAACACATCAATTGCCTGTCTCCTGCACAACCCTAACAGGCCAGGGATCAAACTTGCAACAAAGGTATGTGCCCCTGACTGGGAATCGAACCCATGACCTTGCTGTCCATGGGCCGACACTCTAACCCCTGAGCCAGACCTGTCAGGGCTTAGAGGAATTTTCAAGAAAGGGAGGAGAGAAAGGAAGATAGTTTTTCAGGAAAAATGATACGAGGCTTAGTAAAAAAAAGTAGGCTTGTTAAATGGCTAATACAATCAAGTTGTGTGGGGTGACTAGAACCTTGAAAAACAGGCCTAGAATTCATTGTGAGTGTGACAGGTTGGAGTAGCTTGATAAAAACAGGATGAAGGTTATTATTATTATCACCACCTTGGATAGATACTGCCGTGTTGACTTATCTCTGAGGAACTTGAGAAGCTTTCATATACCTATTTTCAAAATCTTGCAAAGTAGGAAACTGATTTTATCTATTATATAGTTAGGGCAAGTAGAACATGAAGAAATTGTGACTCACTTAAGACTGCAGTAGTGAAAGACAGAAGCCAAATATAGGCTTTTTAACTCTTGGGTACAGACCTCTGTTCTATACACCTGGGTTCCAAAATGATTGTCTAGACAGGTGTTCTCATTGATCACCTGGAGGACTTGTTATAGTACAGATTACTGGGCCCTGTCCTTAGAATTTCTGATTTAGTAAGTCCAGAGTAGAGCCTAAGAATTTGCATTTCTAATAAGTTCCCAGCTGATGCTGCACATACATTGAGAACAACTGCTGTAAACCAGTAGTATACTTTGCTCTCTTCAGGGTAGACAACATGACAAATGGTACTATATCCTGAGCTAAACTGCAGAGGCCACTCTTGGCCCAAGGTACATAGCATAAACCTACAGGCCCTGTGACCATGAGAGGTCCTCAACAGAAGGGAAAAAATAATTCACAGACTTTTTATCAAGGTTAAACAGATTTGAAATAAAAGACTGGCCTTTATTTTAAAATTATGACCTTATTCATTGGCATTAAAAAGGCCATTTCTTTCATGAAAAGATTATGTTTTTAAATGGTGTACTTAATAATCAAGCCTTACTTTGAAATATTAAAAATGACAACCTGAGGTTGGTTGAGAATTTCTTTTTAATTGTGTTGATCCATGACATCTGAACATCTGGAAACCACTGCTATAAACATTGCTGCATCTTCTAATGGGCATAACAGTCTGAGGACTAAGGACTAATTAGGATATTAGGTCTAAGGAAGAAACATCATAAGTAGCTGAACAGAAGGAAATTTGTAACCCCTCCAAAGAACATTCTGGCATCTTTCCCACAGAACTAAGGCCAAATGCCATTGTCAGAGTATATGTACCATAGTTGACTTCTTTAACATCTTCAGGTATATGTTTTCCTTAAATTATTAAAAGTAATTTACCTTATCAAATTCAAATGTTAAAATAGTCAAATTTCATCTCGTCAGAGGTCGGTTTTGTTATAGCTAGACTAGCAAACTGCTATTTTATATATATATGTGTACATATATATACATTTTTTTCAAATTGATTTTAGACAGGAAGGGAGAGGGAGAGAGAGAGCAACATTGATGAGAGAGAACATCTATTGGCCACCTCCTATGTGTCCCCCACTGGGGACTTGGCCCACAACCTTGGCATGTGCCCTGAGTGGGAATCGAACCAGTGACCTCTTGGTGCATGGGTCAATGCTCAGTCACTGAGCCACACTGGCTGGGCAAAACTGCTGTTTTTTACAGAGACAGCAAAAGCCCAGTTTGCCCAAAAGTATCTCTTTCATTGATCCTAAATTTCACATTTTTTAAATTGTATTTTTATGTGTATGCAATGTTTTTCTAGAAAGTCCTTTTAAAAATATACTTATGATGAGTGACATTAAAACATCAGACTGTGCCTGGCTGGTGTGGCTCAGTGGTTGAGCGTCAGCGCTGCACCGGAAGATCACCGGTTCAACTCCTGGTCAGGACACATGCCTGGGTTGTAGGCCAAATCCCCATAGGGGGGCATGCAGGAGGCAGCCAATTGATGTTCTCTCTCATCGGTGTTTCTATCTCCCTCTCCCTCTCCCTTCCTCTCTCTCTAAAATCACTTAAGAAAAAAAATGTTTAAAAAACAAAAAACTCAGATTGCCTTCTGGCTGGTGTGGCTCAGTTGATTAGAGCGTTGTTCCATACACCAAGAAGTGGCAGGTTCGATTTCTGGTCAGGGTTTTGGGTTCAATTCCTGCTCAGGACTCGTGCAAAGGCAACTGATTAATGTTTCTCTCTCACATTGATGTTTCTCTTTCCCATCAATATTTCTTGCTCTCTCTCTCCCACTCTCTCAGATCAATAAAAAAAATTTTTAAGTTGAAAAGACAAAAAACAAAACAAACCACACACATCAGATTACCTAGCCTTTTACTTTGAATGCCGCTCATGGAATGGGATTTAAGACAAATTTTTATTTCAGGGAACCTTGAGATGTGGAATCATGTGAAAATAATTGGTGGGACCAAAATAGTTTGGGTAAAGGATTAGAGGTTGATGTTCAGCTACTAGTTAATTTTTTTGTAAGATGGCCCTGGTGTGATGTGATGATCCACTTCTTAAAGGCCATTGGGAGCACTACAAAGGGATTTTGCTACATCAACACCTGAGTCACTGTGGGCATTGTAGGATCACATAGAAATAAATACTGTCGCCCTGGCCAGTTTGGCTCAGTGGTTGAAGCGTCGGCCTGCGGACCAGAGAGTCCTGGGTTCGGTTCCCGCTAGGGGCATGTACCAAAACCAAACCAAACCAAAACCAAATAAATAAATAAATACTGTCATGATATAGGGTAGAGACTCCTCATCTAATAAACATGTATGAGGACCCACTATGTACCAGGCACTGTGCCCACTGTGGATATGCTGGTGGAGATAAGGGTTGCCCTGTCTTTAAGGAGTCCCTAGTATAGTGGGGAGTGGAGGGTAGGGTATTGGACTTATGGGACAAGAGGAGTAAACACTAATAAAAATGAAATATGGTGGGATTCAGAGGATGGAACCTAATAATGAGACCTAGCTGAGCCATTGTCATTTTTTAAAATTTTTTTTATCCTCACCCAAGGACGTTTTTTCATTTTTTGTTCAGATAGAGTGGGAGAGGGAGAGGGGGAGAGAGAGAGAGAGAGAGAGAGAGAGAGAGAGAGAGAGAGAGAGAAGAGAGAGAGAGAGAAGAGAGAGAGAGAGAAACGTCGACGTGAAAGGGACACATCGAGTGCCACCCGCACAACCCAACCAAGGCTGAGGACAAACTACAAACAAGGTACTTGCCCTTAGTGGGAACCGAACCCAGATCTCTCTGGACCGCAGGCCAATGCTCTAACTGCTGAGCCAAACCAGCCAGGGCAGCCTTTGTCAGTTTATAGTATTATCTTGGGCAGTGCTTCTGATTTCTGACTTCTGTGATTTTTGCTTCTGTAAAATGGTAAAGGTCATCTCTTACACAAAGAGAATATGAAGTCAAGGATAGCAAAGCACTTTGATATCTTCAAAGGCCTTTACATTTGCTATAAAAATCTAAGATGTCATTATTGATTGATTCATCATACAGAGCTAAGAAGTTTAGATATCACTTTTATCAGGATATGGTAACAGTGCCTGATAGTGTTTGTATATTATTGCTATCTGCATGTTAAATTTTTTTAATAAGGTACTGTTAGACAAAAGAAGACCTACTTGCATTTTTTTCTGCCTCTGTTCTTATTTATCTCTCTACACCAAGATTGTCATAAAAACTTGCTATATCTTTTATCAAAGAAGTAAGACATTTCTTGCCCTAACCATTGTTCAGTCAGTTGGAGCATCGTCCCATACACCAGAAGGTGGTGGGTTTGATTCCCAATCAGGACACATATCCAGGTTGCCTGTTTGATCCCCAATCAAGGAACATGCAGGAGACAACTGATCAATGTTTCACTCTCTGTCTCTCTCGCCCCCCACCCCATTCCTCTACCCCCCTCCTTCCCTTCCTCTCTCTAGAATCAATTAAAAAAAAAAAAAAACTGCCACTCTGGCCAGTGTGGTTCAGTAGTTAGAGTGTGGACCTGTGGGCCGAAGAGTCATGAGTTCAGTTCCCAGTCAAATGCGCATACCTGGGTTTGAGATTTGATTCCCAGCCCTGGTCGGGGCACGTGCAGAATGTAACCGATCAGTGTGTTTCTCTCACATTGATGTTTGTCTCTCTCTCTCTCTCTCTTCCTCTCCCACCCTCCCTTCCATTCTGTAAAAATCAATGGGAAAAATATCCTCAACTAACTTCCATGTTTTCTTAAAAACAAAAACAGTAAAACATTTCTTATTAGAGTATTAAGTTAGGGGTCTTCCTATACCTCTGTACATTTATTAGGCCTCATATATATTTAAGCTTAAATTTTGTTTTAGAATGAGTTATCTAGGGACTGGCAAAGCCATGAAATGCAATATTTTGCCTGAAAGATTAAGACTGAGCTCAGCTCTAATTCTAGGCCCTGGGCTGGCCCCTCAAAGCATTGTAAAGTCATCTTAAATTGAGGTGTTGCTCTCTCTTTCCAGCAATAAACAGTGGTACATTGTTGTCAAAACCATCCCCACCCTTACCACCTAAGAGAGGCATTCCATCAACCTTGGTACCCACCTCGGAGTCTGCCACTGCCGCCGCTGCCACCACCACCACCACAAAAGCACCAAGTGATCAGAGAGAAAAGAGCACATGCTCTGTGGGCTCCGAACAGCTGCTGCTGATTCCACCTCCCTCTCCATCCCCCCCACTGCCTACTCATATACCTCCAGAACCCCCACGGTCCCCTCTGTTCCCTGCTAAGACTTTTCAAGTTGTGCCAGAAACTGAGTTTGCACCTTCCTTAGATCTACCCCAGGAGGTTCCCCAGCAGGAAGAACAGAAAAAAGAAGTATCCAAGAGAATGTTGGACCACAGCTTTGGGGAGCCCCCTGTACCCTCTAGGCTGCCCCCACTCCCACTGCATCTCCGAATCCAGCAGGCCCTGACCAGCCCACTTCCCATCACTTCTTCCTTGGAGGGCTCTCACAGAGCTCATTCATTGCTCTTCGAGAACAGTGACAACTTTTCTGAGGACAGCAGTACCCTGGGTCGTACCAGGTCACTTCCCATCACTATTGAAATGCTGAAAGTGTGAGTGCCTTTAAAGCTTGCCTCCTGTTTCCTTACTTTACTTGCCTTTTCTAGTTAGCCCTTCTTGGAAAAATTTAGTTATGAAAAGAAAATGTGAATAAATTTAAAGTAAGAATACTCAACAAATAACACATATTCTAGAATTTGATCTTTGTTTTACCCTGCTGATTTCTATAACATTATTTCCATGGCAGATAAGTTTATGATAATACAAAAATTGAAAATTAAAACCACTGTATTTTTTATACATGGTGCTTAAGAGCATTGACTTTGCAGTAAGATAGCTCTGGGTTCAAATCCTGGCTCTAGCTCTTATTTACTAGCTTGTAGTAGTGTATGTTACTTAACCTTTATGCTAATCTGTAAAAAGGAATAATACATACTTACATTGCTTTGTGAGAAGGAAATTAGACAAATCTGAAAGCACTAGTGCCTGGCACATAAACTGGGTAGAAAGGGCAGAGAGAAGTCTAAAGAAAAAGAAGGGTGCTCTGAAAGACAACCTAGTATTCTAGCCCCTTAGCCTGGAACTGGTCATCTTATTCTCTCCCTCATCTGTCCCCAAATACTGAATCTGTTCACACCAGCATTGGTAGTAACACCTACTCTGTCTTTTTAAAATTCCAACAAATTTCAACTGAAGATTAACACCTGACAAATTAAAAGAATTGTTATAGACCTGTTGTAGCATCATACTTGTTATTTGTTTTGCCATAATATTTGTACTTGCTGTTATATTTATTTCACATCCTGGAAAGACACAGTTTAGGAGTTTGAATGTAAACTAAGTCATAGTTTATGCCTCTAGAATATAAAGGGGTAAGTTAATTTTCATTTTACTTCTCTTTGTTTTCTGGAACTGGATTATCATTTTGTCCTACTGCATTGCTAAACCAAAGAGAAGTGTGTTAAATATTTGTAGTAAATATCTTCCATAAGCCAGGAACAGTGTTGGATGCTGTGCAGTCTTCTCATTTAATCAGACCAAAGCAAACTTGCCCCTGCTCTGTAGATCATCAGGGCCCTATGTGCCAGACACTAGTGTATCATAGAATTTGTCTGTTTCCTCCTCACAATAAGCCAATGAAGTAGGTATCATTCCCATTTACAGAAAAGCTAAGTAACTTACAAGCTAGTAATTAAATTGTAGAGCTAGGATGTGAACCCAGAGCCTTCAGATTAAGAGCTGCTAAAGAATTTCTTAAGATTGTTAAGGTTAAAGGAAAGAATTCTAAATTATTTTAGTCATGGATTTTTCCATCGATATTCAGTATTCTGCCTTGCAAATTCATTGTCCTTTATGTTTCTGAAAGGGCAATATAATTATGTTAATTTTTTAGTCCAGACGATGAAGAAGAGGAAGAGGAGCAAACCCACCCATCTGCGTTCAGTGAAGACATACCACCTACCTCAGTCATTCCTAAACTACCACAGTGTCTGCAGGAGGAAGAGGAAGAGAAGGAGAGCGACTCAGACTCAGAAGGTCCCATTCAGTACCGAGATGAAGAGGATGAAGATGAAAGCCAGAATAGTAAGAAAAGGAGGGAGAAGCAAAGAAGAAAATTCTTTTAGAGATAAAGCTACTTGCTAGTCTTAGCAAGTATAAGATGAATGGAAATAGGCACTCTCTCCCATCAAGTCATCTGGCTACCCGATGTAGGCTTATGAAGGACTCTTGTCTCTAATATTCCTTGTTAAAACAAGCCAGTGAGAGGGAGCCAGGTAGATTGAGTCATTCGGGTTTTTCATCTGTTTTTAATTTAAAAATTGTTTACCTAATGGTATGGAGGAATGTGGAGGAGAGGAAAGTTGGTATTTGGGCTCTGTTGAAAAGACAAAAGTGATGCTTTCCTTCAGTCTACTGAACTTACTGTGTTCATGGGGCAAAAGGGGGAAAAAACACATTCATCTACACAAATTTATGAACAGTGGAATCCTGAAAGTTGGAAAACAGCCTTAAGAGTAGAAAATTTGAGGTATGTTTGTGCGAATACCTTTTTGTTGTAATTTCAGAGGGCTGCCTTGTGCTTAGATTCTCTCCTATAGCAGCTCTTACTAAGGAGGCAAATAAAGAAGGGAGGAGATATCTTTAGCCCATGTGAGTCTGAGTGAGATTTTTAGATGTCATTAGCTTTACCCCCACCTTGTGTTGCTGGATAGTTGGAGGTCAAGTAGGAAACTGGGAGATGTGATATTGTTTGTTCAGACTCCTGCCTGAATCTCAACCAGGTAAGGTTGAGCCTTAAACTTCAATATTTTTTTCTTTTCCTTCTGCAAAGGTGCTCTGGCCAACAAAGTGAAGAGGAAAGACACACTGGCAATGAAGTTGAACCACAGACCCAGTGAACCAGAACTGAACTTGAATTCTTGGCCTCGAAAAAGCAAAGAGGAGTGGAATGAAATACGGCACCAGATTGGGAACACACTGATCCGGTAGGCCTTTGGTTAGAATCCATTGATTTGATTTGATTATGTTGGAGACTTATTTTGTGGTGTAGCATTTGTTTATCTTTTTGTCGTTTTTTAATTTTAGAAATAGTATAATTTTTTTTTCTTTTTTTTTTATCCTCACCCGAGGACATTTTTCCGTTTTTTGTTCAGGTAGAGTGGGAGGGAGAGAGAGGAACAGAGAGAGAGAGAGAAACATCGATGTGAAAGGAACACATCGAGTGGCTGCCACCCGCACAACCGACCAGGGCTGGGGACAAACTGCAACTGAGGTACATGCCCTTTGCGGGAACTGAACCCATGTCTCTCAGGACCGCAGGCCGACGCTCTAACCGCTGAGCCAAACCGGCCAGGGCTAAATAGTATAATTTTTAAAAACACTTATATTGGCCAGTTGAGTATCCTCTAAAAATTTGGCAATTAAACCATAAGATAACTATGTGTGTGTGTGTGTGTGTGTTTTGTATTGTTTTTTTTTTTACCTCTCTAATTTAAAAAATTTTTTTTTCCTTTATTTTGAGAAAGAAGAAGTGAGAGGGAGAGAGAGACAGAAACATCGATGAGAGAGAACATCGATTGGCTGCCTCCTGCATGCCCCACACTAGGGATCGGCCCCACAACCTGGGCATGTGTCTTGACCGGGAATCGAACTAGCAACCTCTTCGTGCATGGGTCAGTGCTCAACAACTGAGCCACACTGGCAGGACTGTGTTTTTTTTTTAAATCCTCACCCAAAGATATTTTTCCATTTTTGTTCAGATAGAGTGGGAGGGGGAGAGAGAGAGAGAAAGAGATAAGCATCAACTGGTTGCCTCCCGCATAACCAGGGCAGGGACAAACCGCAACCAAGATACGTGCTCTTGACCAGAATCAAACCTGTGACTTGTTGGTCCGCAGGCCAATCGATGCTCTAACCGCTGAGTCAAACCAGCCAGGGCTTGTTTTGTTTTTTTAAGTATTAGAGAATTCAGGTGGTTCCCAGAACAGCGAAACTCCTTTGTCATTTTTCCAGTTGCTCAAGCATGAGATGCCAACCCAATTAAAGATCACACCCACAGCCCTGGCCGGTTTGGCTCAGCGGTTGGAGCATCGGCCTGCGGTACAGAGAGACCTGGATTCAGTTCCCGCTAAGGGCATGTACCTCGGTTGCAGTTTGTCCCCGTCCCCGGCCCTGGTTGGTCGTGCAGGTGGCAGCCACTTGATGTGTCCCTTCACATCGATGTTTCTCTCTTTCTCCTTCTCTCTCCCTCCCGCTCTATCGGAACAAAAAATGGAAAAATGTCCTCGGGTGAGGATAAAAAAAAAAAAAAAGATCACACCCACATTTTTTATTATATATATTATATGTGTTCCATGTAATTATCTCCTTTCAAAGTATTAGTATATATATATATATTTGTTTTCTTTGTGTTCATATATTTTTCAAGTCAGCTGGAACCAAAAGCATAGAAAAACTGAATGCAGGCCAACTTCCTACACATATATTAGACATAGAGTTTAGGTATATAGACAGATGTTTTCCCAACTCAAATATATCTCAAATATATCTCTTGGTAGAATAAGGAAAAGGAGATGGAACTCTTGACATACTACTTACAACATAATTAATGATGTTCATGAACTAAAATATATTTTCCTCTCCTATCTTGTGCTGTTAGCCAATATGGAAATTTTAATCCAAAACTGTGGCCCTCTGATTGTCAGCAAGAGACCATCAAAACTAGTAATTTGTTAAAAATGGAGATCTTTGATCATCTTTTTTTTTTTCTTTATTGATTTTAGAGAGGAAGAGAGATAGAAACATCAATGAGAGAGAACATCGATCGGCCACCTCCTGCATGCCCCCACTAGGGATTTGGCCCACAACCTGGGCATGTGCCCTGACCAGAAATCAAACTGGTGACCTCTTGGTGCATGGGTCGATGTGCAACTGCTGAGCCACACCAGCTGGGCTGATCATCTTATTTTAAGGTGTAAAGTTAAAGTAACCTAAACAGTATGATATTGACATAAAGATATGCCCTGGGTGGTTTTGCTCAGCGGTTAGAGCGTCGGCCTGCGGTCCTGAGAGACACGGGTTCGGTTCCCGCTAAGGGCGCGTACCTCGGTTGCAGTTTGTCCCCAGCCCTGGTCGGTTGTGCGGGTGGCAGCCACTCGATGTGTTCCTTTCACATCGATGTTTCTCTCTCTCTCTCTGTTCCTCTCTCTCCCTCCCACTCTACCTGATCAAAGAATGGAAAAATGTCCTCGGGTGAGGATAAAAAAAAAAAAAAAAAGATAGACAACAAATCAAGGTAACAGAAGATTGAGCCTAGAAATAGACCCACTCATAGCTGTACAATTCATTTTTGACAAAGTGAATTTCATTGAGAAAGATGATCTTTTTCACAAATGGTGCTGGTGCAAAAATAACCAATTAATGCCGTGTATCAAAAACTAACTCAAAATAGATCATAGACTTCACATAGAGCTAAAACTATAAAACGTCCAGAACAATATGGGTTAGACAAAGATTTTTGGATATGATCTCAAAAGCATGATTCTTAAGAGAAAGACATTGATAAATTGCACTTTAAATTTTTAAATTTTGGGTTTTTTTTTTTCTTTCCATTTTTTGAAAGTACGTGCCCTTAGTGGGAACCAAACCTGGGTCTCTGGTCCATGGGCCAACGCTCTAACTACTGAGCATACAGGCCAGGGCTAAATTTTGTTTTTTGAAAGACACTGTTAAGAAAATGTAAAAATAGCCCTGGCTGGTTTTGCTCAGTGGTTAGAGCATCAGCCTGCGGTCCAGAGAGACCCAGGTTCAGTCCCCGATAAGGGCAGGTACCTTGGTTGCAGTTTGTCCCCGGCCCTGGTTGGGTTGTGCGGGTGGCAACCACTCGATGTGTCCCTTTCACGTTGATGTTTCTCTCTCTCTCTCTCTCTTTCTCTCTTCCTTCCACTCTATCTGAACAAAAAATGGAGAAATGTCCTCGGATGAGGATAAAAAAAAAAAAGAAAGAAAGAAAATGTAAAAACAACTTGCAAACTGGGAGAAATATTTTCAAATTATTTATGTGAAAGTAGGGATCAGACTGACAAACCTCAGAGGAGGCGGGGAAGGGAAGAGATAAACCAAAGAACTTATGTGTATATATGCATAACCAGTGGACATAGACAACAATACTGTGAAGGGGGAGGGCGGGAGCAAGTAGGAGGGTGTCAGTGGGGGGAAATGGAGAAACATCTGTAACAAAAATAAATTAATTTAAAAAATTAATTTTTAAGAAAATTGTGTATGTGATAAAGGTCTTATATCTAGAATATATGAAGAATTCTCCAAATTCAATAAGAAAACAACCCAATTTTGTTGTTGTTGTTGTTAATCCTCACCCGAGGATATTTTTCCATTGATGTTCAGATGGAGTGGAAGGGGGGAGTGAGAGAGACATCGATATGAGAGACACAATGATTGGTTGCTTCCTGCATGGCCCTGGGACCATAGATCTAACCTGCAACCCAGGTACATGCCCTTGATTGGAATTAAACCCAGGATCCTTCAGTCTGCAGGCCAGCGGTTAGAGCATCAGCCATCTGACCAGTGAGTCTCAGGTTCAATTCCAGTCAAGGGCACATACATCATTTGTGGTTGGCCTTGGTTGGGCATGCAGGAGGTAACCAGTCAATGTTTCTCTCTCACATCAATGTTTCTCTCCCTACCATTCTATCTGATGATAAATGGAAAAATATCCTCATGTGAGGATTTAAAAAAAAAAATAAGTGAAGGAGGGAGAGAAATTTCAGTAGACATATCACCAGAGAAGATACACAGATGGCAAAAAAGCATAAGGAAAGATGATCAACATCATTAGTCACTAAGAAAATGTAAATTAAAACCACAATGAGATACCACTACAAGCCCACTAAGATGGCTAAAATTGCACAATTTAAGATTGAAAATACCAAGAGTTGCTGAGAATGAGAAGCAGCTGGCTTCTCACACACTGGTTATGGGAATGTAAAACAGTAGAACTATTTTGGAAAAATAGTTCTTTAAGTTTTTAAAAAAAATAAATCTGCCATGGCTGGGTGGCTCAGTTGGTTGGAGCGTTGACCCATACATCAAGAGATGGTGGGTTCAGTTCCTAATCAGGGCACATGCCTGGGTTGCAGGTTCAATCCCAATCAGGGCATGTTTGGGAGGCAAGTGACCAATGTTTCTCTCTCTCCCCCTCTCCCTTTCTTTCTCTCTCTAATGTCAATAAAAAAATAAAACACATACCCACATATGACCCAGCTATTCTATTAACCTAATATTTTTAATAGCCAAAAATGAAAATAGAAACAAATATCTATCAAAATGTAAATGGGCCCTGGTCATGTAGCTCAGTTGGTTAGAGCATCGTCCTGTGCCCTGAAGGGTTTCAGGTTGGATCCTGGTTGGAGCACGTGTAGGAGGTAGCCAATCAGTGTTTCCCTCTCATATTGATGTTTCTCTCTCTATTTCTCCCTTCGTCTCTCTCCAGTATTTAATTAAGAAAACATCCTTGGGTAAAGATTTTAAAAAAAGGCAAGCAAGCCTTGGCCAGTTTGGCTCAGCAATTAGAGGTTGACCTTTGGACTGAAGGTTCTCGGATTCAGTTCCCAAACAAGGGCACCTACCTGGGTTGCAGGTTCAATCCCCAGCTCCAGTTGGGGTTTTGCAGGAGGCAACCAATAGATGTGTCTCTCGAATTGATGTTTCTCTCTCTCTTTCCTTCCACTCCCTCCTTCCCTTCCTGAAAATCAATAGAAAAATATTCTCAGGTGAGGATTAACAAAAAAAACAGAGGCAAATGGATGAACAAATTGTGGTATAGTTATACAGTGGAATACTACATAGCAATAAAAAGGAATGAACTATTTATAATGCCACAACTTGGGTGGATCTCAATAATTATGCTAAGTGAATCAAGCTAGACCAAAAAAAGAGTACATACTATATGATTATATAAAATTTTAGAAAATGGCCCTGGCTGGTTTTGCTCAGTGGTTAGAGCATCAGCCTGCGGTCCAGAGAGACCCGGGTTCGGTTCCCGCTAAGGGCATATACCTTGGTTGCAGTTTGTCCCCGGCCCTGGTTGGGTCGTGCGGGTGGCGGCCACTCGATGTGTCCCTTTCACGTCAATGTTTCTCTCTCTCTCTCTCTCTTCCTCTCCCTCCCACTCTCTCTGAGCAAAAAATGGAAAAAATGTCCTCGGGTGAGGAATAAATAAATAAATAAATAAAATTTTAGAAAATGAGCCCTGGACGGTTTGGCTCAGCAGTTGGAGCGTCGGCCTGCAGACCAAAGAATCGCAGGTTCGATTCTGGTCAAGGGTACGTGTTGCGGTTCATTCCGGCCCTGGTTGGGTTGTGCAGGAGGCAACCAGTCAATGTTTCTCTCTCACATTGATGTTTCTATCTCTCCCTCCCGCCCTCTAAAAAAAATTTTTTAGAAAATGAAAACTAAAGTACAGTGATATAAAGCAAATCAGTGTTTACCTGGGGGCAGGGAAGTTGATATTACAAAAGAAAATGAGGAGATTTTGTGGAGGAGATTTACACTGATAGAGTTTTAGTCGTCCCCCCCACCCCCAAAGTCCTAATCTCTGGTACCTATGAATGTAACCTTATTTGGAAAGAGGGCCTATGCAGATATAATCAAGCTAAGATGATGCATATTGTGTTAGGGTGGTCTCTAATCCAATGACTGGTGTCTTCATAAGAAGAAGGAAATTTGGCCCTGGCTGGGTAGCTCTGTTGGTTAGAGCATCATTCCTATAAGCCAAGGTTACAATTCAGTCCCCAATGAGGGCACATACAAGAATCAACCAGTGAGTGCATAAGTAGGTGGAACAACAAATCAATGTTTCTCCCCCCCTCCTCTCTCTCTCTAAAAATCATTAAATTTAAAAAAAAATTTTTTAAGAGGAAAATTTGGACACAGAGACACACACAGGGAAAATGCTATGTGATTACGGAGGCAGAGATTGGAGTAATGCACCTATAATCCAAATAATGCCAAGGATTGCTGGCAACCACCAGCTAGGACATGGGCATGGAACAAATTCTTGTTCAGAGACTTTAGAAGGAACCAATCTTCCCAACACCTTGATTTTGAACTTCTGGACTCCAGAACTGTGAGAGAAATTTCTGTCATTTTAAGCCACCCAATTTGAGTGGTAATTTATAATGGCAGCCCTAGGAAACTAATACTAGGGTAACGGATGTGTTCATCATCAAGGTTTCATAGGTGTACACATATGTCAAAATATCGAATGATGCATTTTATTGTATGCCACATATCCTATTGAAGCTGGGTTTTTTTTCTCAATGAACATTTTTATTTTATTTTATTTTTTAATGTATTTAAATATTTTATTACTTTTTTTTTTATCCTCACATGAGGACATTTTTTTTATTTTTTGTTCAGCTAGAGTGGGAGGGAGAGAGAGGAAGAGAGAGAGAGAAACATTGACGTGAAAGGAACACATCGAGTGGCTGCCTCCCGCACGACCCAAACAGGGTTGAGGACAAACTGCAACTGAGGTACGTGCCCCTAGCAGGAACTGAACCCGGGTCTCTCTGGACCACAGGTCGACGCTCTAACCGCTGAGCCAAACCGGCCAGGGCTCAGTGAGTATTTTTAAAAAAAGAGACAAAATAACTTTGAAAAACATAAACTTTTATATTGTATATAAAATGGGACTGGGAGTTCTCAATGCACATAACTCAAGAATTACTAGCATGTAGTTCAAATACTGTTTGAGAAGTATAAATTAAAGGTAAGGAATGAATAACTTTCTGTTTCCAAAGAATGACATGTTATCATTGTTAACAACTCAGAACTGTGGATGAGATGAGAAACTTCATCAAATATTTGACAGAGAGGATCGAATTTTAAAATCTCAGTCCTGCCCAGCTTGTATGGTTTAGTGGTTGAGCGTCAACCCACGCACTAAGAGGTCGCAGGTTCCATTCCCGGTCAGGGCCAAGCCAGGGTTGCAGTCTCGATCCCTGGTGGTAGGAATGCAGGAAGCAGCCTACTAATGTTTCTATCTCATTGATGTTTCCATCTACTCTTCCTCTCTCTCTTTCTCCCTCTTTAACAATCAATAAAAACATATTTAAAAAAAATATCTCAGTCCTCATCCTAGTCTCCTGAATCAAAAGCTCTGTTAATATACCTTAAGGATCTGTGTTTTTAACAGATTTGCTAAAGGAGCAAATCTGTTTGGGAGTTACTAGTCTAGTCCCGACCTTCATTTTACAGATGAGTATACGCAGGATCTGACTGAGCTTTTTTGTAGTGATAGGGCTTGTTGATGTCAGAGCTTGATAGGGCTTGTTGATGTCAGAGCTAGAACTAGAATCCTGGCCTCCTGTTTACTGCAATTCCTTGTTATGTTGTAACATCTGTATGAACACTTTCATTGTGAAAATTGTTTCATAAACAGTGAATCAGATATTATCAAAACAGCTTGAAATTTTATTGATTCCTCGCTAGTGTAGGGACTAATATAAACTAAGACCAAAACAAGTCTTCCTAAATAGGATTGAGAGGTTTAACATAGACAATACTCTTATTTATTTCTTTTTAGACGACTGAGTCAAAGACCAACACCAGAAGAACTAGAGCAACGAAATATACTACAACGTGAGTCCAGCTATGGAAATAAACTTGTATAGATTTTCTTTGTATCTTTCTAACTTTAATATACATAACAGAGAAGAGAAGCATTTTCTGGAAGGGCCAAGGAGAAAGTGTTCCAGCCAAGGAAGGACTGTTTATAGCTTTTCCCCTGAACAAACAGAGCTCTGTAAACTTTCTTTACAAGATATCATTGTGGTATTGTTTAGTATACTGGGATACTACAGAAAATGTTCTTTTAATTTTCTCACAGTGTCTTGAGACTACTTTGGACATTTGGGAGGATTTCACAGTGTGTGATAGACGCTGCCCAACTTTTCTCTGTCTTCCAGGAAGTAAAATAGTAACTGCATTTGGAGGAGACCTTCCTATTCCTAGGAATCTGAGGGCTGGGCCCAAAGCAACTCCCAAATGCAGCAGACTTCGTGCCTTTTTCATCTTAAGACTTTGTACCTATAAAGTCACAAAGCAGGACCATGTATTTATTTTTCTTCCCTGTACATAATTAGAAATAGCATTCTAATCTAGTACATATATATTTTTCCAGCTTATAGTGTGAAATTTGGACCTAAAAATCTCTACATACCGAAGAGGATTAGGCTTCATAGGGTTACTTGTGGGCATGCTCAGTGTGACCAATTCATCCCGTTCTCTCATCATTATTTGGATATATGCGCTTAATACATTTTAGTTTATCTTTTTCATTTTATCTTATCTTTTTTATTTTATTTATTTTTTATTTTTTAGTTCTCAAGATTTTATTTACTTGGGAGGTTGTTTTCCAATTTAAAAAATTACCGTACTAAGCTTTATTTCAGATCCTGTTGATTGGCAACATTGTGAAATGTCTTTACTTCTCCCCTTGATTTGGTCTTCTGCTCCTCACTCATTCTCCAACACATTGTTTTACTTTTTCAAATCCTGTCCTTGCTCCACACACAGCTGCCCCGGCACTTTTGTTTTTTGTACCTATAAAGTCACAAAACAGGACCATGTATTTATTTTCCCCGGAAAAAACTCTCTCTCTTTTTTTTGTGGTTACAGATGTTTCTCCTTTTTTACCCTATTGACACCCTCCTCCCCATCCCCCCCCACTCCATCCCCGGTTTTGTGTCCATGTCCATTGGTTATGCATACATGCATATAAGTTCTGTGGTTTATCTCTTCCCTCCCCGGATCACCCTCTCTTCTGAGGGTTGTCAGTCTGTACCCCACTTCCATGTCTCTGGGACTGCCCCATTCCTCAGACTGTTATGTTCATTATATTCCACAAATAAGTGAGATCATGTGGTATTTGTCTTTTTCTGCTTGGCTTGTTTCGCTTTGGATAATACTTTCCAGGTCCCTCCATGTCGTCTCAAAGGATAAGAGATCTTTCTTTCTTACAGCTGCATAGTACTCCATTGTGTATATGTACCACAGCTTTTTTATCCATTCTTCTACTGATGGACACTGGGGTTGTTTCCAGATGTTAGCTATTGTAAATAGTGCTGCTGTGAACATGGGGGTACATATATTCTTTCTGATTGGTGTTTCAGGCTTCTTAGGGTATATTCCTAGAAGTGGTATCACTGGGTCAAATGTCAATTCAATTTTTAATTTTTTTTTTTTTTAATTTATTTTTTTATCCTCATCCGAGGATATTTTTCCATTTTTTGTACAGACAGAGTGGGAGGGAGAGAGAGGAAGAGAGAGAGAGGGAAACATCGATGTGAAAGGGACACATCGAGTGGCTGCCACCCGCACGACCAACCAGGGCCGGGGACAAACTGCAACCGAGGTACGTGCCCTTAGCGGGAACCGAACCCGGGTCTCTCCGGACCACAGGCCGACGCTCTAATCGCTGAGCCAAACCGGCCAGGGCTCAATTTTTAATTTTTTGAGGTAACACCATATTGTTTTCCATAGTGGCTCTACCAGTCTGCATTCCCACCAGCAGTGTAATAGAGTCCCCTTTTCTCCACACCCTCGCCTTGTTTGATGATTTGTTGATGGCAGTCATTCTGACAGGTGTGAGGTGATACCTCATTGTTGTTTTATTTTGCATCTCTCTGATGATTAGTGATGCTGAGCATTTCTTCGTATGTCTCTTGGCCATTTGTATGTCCTGTTTGGAACGGTGTCTATTTAATTCCTCTGCCCATTTTTAATTGGGTTCTTTGTCTTCGTTTTGTTGAGTTATATGAGTATTCTATATATTTTGGAAATTAACCCCTTATCTGATATATCATTGACAGTGATGCTCTCCCATACAGTGGGTCGCCTTTCCATTTTGATGGTTGTTTCTTTTGCTGTGCAGAAGCTTTTGAGTTTGATGTAGTCCCATGTGTTCATTTTTTCCTTTGTTTCTCTTGCCTTAGGTGATGTATCAGTGAAAATTCTGCTGCATAAGATGTCCGAAATTTTGTTGCCTACATTTTCTTCTAGGATTTTTATCCTAGAATTCTAGGATTCATGGGTCACATTTAAGTCTTTTATCCATTTTGAGTTTATTTTTGTGTATGGTGTAAGTTGATGATCTAGTTTCATTTTTTTGCAAGTAGCTGTCCAGTTTTCCCAACACCATTTATTAAAGAGGCCTGTCTTTACTTCATTGTATGCTCTTGCCTCCTTTGTCAAATATTAATTGAGCATAATGTCTTGGGTCCAAATCTGGGTTCTCTGTTCTGTTCTACTGGTCTGTTTGCCTGTTCTTGTGCCAGTACCAGGCTGTTTTGATTACAGTAGTTTTGTAGTATAACCTGATATTCGATATTGGGATCCCACCTACTTTGTCCTTCTTTTTCAAGATTGCTGTGGCTATTTGGGGTCTTTTTTGGTTCCATATGAACTTTTGAAGTATTTGTTCTAGTTCTGTGAAATATGTCATTGGTATTTTGATGGGGATTGCATTGAATCTATAGATTGCTTTGGATAATATGGACATTTTAATGATGTTAATTCTTCCAATCCATGAACAAGGTATGTGCTTTCACTTTTTTATATCTTCCTCTATTTCTTTTTTCAATGACCTGTAGTTTTCTGCAAATAGGTCCTTTACTTCTTTGGTTAAGTTTATTCCTAGGTATCTTAATTTTTTTGGCGCGATGGTAAATGGATTGTTTTTTCAGTTTCTCTTTCTGTGAGTTCATCATTGGTGTATAAGAATGCCATCGATTTCTTAACATTAATTTTGTATCCTGCTACTTTGCCAAATTTATTTATTAAGTCTAATAGATTTTTGATGGAGCATTTAGGGTTTTCTATGTATAATATCATGTCATCTGCAAATAATGACAGTTTCACTTCCTCCTTTCCAATTTGGATCCCATTTATTTTTTCTTCCTGTCTGATTGCTGTGGCTAAGACTTCCAGTACTATGTTAAATAAGAGTGGCAAAAGTGGGCATCCTTGCCTTGTTCCTGTTCTTAAGGAAAATGCTTTTAGTTTTTGCCCATTGAGTGTGATGTTGGCTGTAGGTCTTTCATATATGGCCTTTATTATGTCTAGATATGATCCCTCTATTCCCACATTGCTGAGCGTTTTTATCAGAAATGGATGCTGGATTTTGTCAAAGGCTTTTTCGGCATCTATTGATATGATCATGTGGTTTTTATTCTTCATTTTATTTATGTGGTGTATCATGTTTATTGATTTGTGAATATTGTACCAGCCTTGCATCCCTGGGATGAATCCCACTTGGTCATGGTGGATAATTTTTTTTGGTGTATTGCTAGATCCGATTTGCTAGTATTTTGTTCAGGATTTTGGCGTCTATGTTCATCAGGGATATTGGCCTGTAGTTTTTTTTCTTTGTAGTGTCTTTTCTGGTTTTGGAATTAGAATTATGCTGGCCTCATAAAACGAGTTTGGAAGTCTTTCTTCTTCTTGAATTTTTTGAAATAGTGTGAGGAGAATGGGTGTGAATTCCTTTTTTGAATGTTTGGTAAAATTCCCCCGTGAACCCATCCAGGCCTGGGCTTTTGTTTGCTGGGAGAGTCTTGATTACCTCTTCAGTTTCCTAAGTTGTTATTGGTCTGTTCAAATTTTCTATCTCTTCCCGGTCCAGTTTTGGGAGACTATGTGTTTCTTGAAATTTGTCCATTTCGCTTAGATTGTCGAATTTATTGCCATATAATTGGTCATAGTAATTGTGAACGATCTTTTTTTTATTTCTGTGGTGTCAGTTGTTACTTCTTCTCTTTCATTTCTGATTTTGTGTATTTGGGGTCTCTCTCTTTGTTTCTTGGTGAGTCTAGCTAAGGGTCCATCAATCTTGTTTATCTTTTTGAAAAACCAGCTGTTTGTTTCATTGATCCTTTGAATTGTTTTTTTGGTCTCTGTGTCATTTATTTCTGCTCTGATCTTTACTATTTCCTTCCTTCTACTTGCTCTGGGGTTTTCTTTTTGTTTGCTTTCTAGTTTTTTAAGTTGTAAGGTTAGATAGTCTTAGAAATTTTTCTTGTTTCTTGAGGTAGGCCTGTGCACTTAGTACATTTTAAAGTGTGAAACTTAGTGTGATCTCCATTCTCCCCCTTTTTCTTTTAATATGTTTTTATTAATTTATTTTGGAGAGAGAGGAAGGAAAAGAGAGATAGAAACATCGATGTGAGAAACATTGATCGGCTGCCTCCACGCCCCCCACTGGGTATAGAGCCCAAAACCTGGGCACATACCCTGACTTGGAATTGAACTGAAACCTCTCAGTCCATGGGATGACGCTCAATCCACTGAGCCACACCAGCTGGGAAGTTGTGGATTGTTTGTTTTTTTAAGATTCTTTTAATTGATTTTTAGAGAGGAAGGAAGAAGGAGAGAAAGGAGAGAGAAACATTGATGTGAGAATCAAACATCTATCAGCTGCCTCCTGCATGACCCCTACCAGGTACTGAGTGGCAACCCAGGTGTGTGCCCTGACTGGGAATAGAAACAGCATTCTTTTGGTGGCCTAGTCGAGCCACCTCCGGCCTGGGCAGCAAAGGACACTTAGTAAATATGTTCAGCTTTGCAGGCCAAAAGCAAAAGAAAGCTGTTATTTAGGTACTTATGAAACCATTTAAAATGTAATTATTTAAAAATGTCAAAACCAGTCTTTAGTTCATGGGCAATAAAAATACTGGCAACTAGCCAGACTTGGTACCATAGTTTGCTACCTTTGCTGTTAAGTATTTGACTACCAGTTGACAAGAAAATTGTCTTGGTTAGCCATTCCCAAAATTTATATTTTAGTCTGACTTGGAGCCTGTAAGAAATCCTTGCACTGCCCGGCCGGTATGGCTCAGTGGATTGAGCATCGTCTTATGGACTAAAAGGTCTCTCAGTTTGATTCCTGGTCAGGGCAAATGCCCAGGTTTCGCACTCAGTCATTAAGTGTCAATCCATGCACCAAGATGTCGCTGGTTTGATTCCCAGTCCAGGCACATGCTCAGGTTGTAGGCCAAATCCCCAGTGGGGGACATGCAGGAGGAGGCCAGTTGATGTTCTCTCTCATCCATGTTTCTGTCTCTCTCTCCCTCTTCCTTCCACTCTCTAAAATCAGTAAAGGAAAAAAAAATTTTTTTAAACAAAGAAATACCTGCACTGTAATTAGTGAAAAGTTTCATATGCAGATTACCATTGTAAAGTAATATTTTTTGTTTCTGACTATCAACTGTAGCTAAAAATGAAGCTGATCGTCAGGCAGAAAAACGAGAGATTAAACGTCGGCTCACTAGAAAGGTATGTTGCCCCAGTGTTTGGTTTCTGTCTGTCTACTGAGTGCATATCTTATATTTGAATAACCTATTTAATTGGAAAGAAATTATTTGACTTGAATTGCCATAGATTGCTATAAAAATAGAATACATGATGCAAATATAGAAAACAACACAGCATTATCAGGAGCATTTTTCTTTCATTTTTACTATTTAAAGAAAGCCTGGCACAAGGAGATGCTTAAATAAATGCATAAAAATTTACATTTTATTTGGTAGACCTGGTATTTTGATGTAGACTCTAAAACCTGTTGAAGTATAGAGATGGTAACAGGAGGAGTGTGTAGTATTCAGTTCTTCAAGGCAAACTGGTTATTTTTAATCCGGGAAAGAATGAAATCACCCTTAGTAATATGTGAAAAGTATTAAGAACCAGCTAGGATTTTTTCCTTGGTCCCAGATCAATTAGGGTAGAATCTTTTCTGTACTAGACGTGTGTTAGCTTAAGCTCTTGAGATTAATACCTTTGTCCTCTCCTTCTCACCATAATTTGTAATTGTCTCCTGTAGATTCTGATTTGGTCTGAGTTCTCTAGATATTTCTTAAAACATAAGAATTCCCAGGAGAGCCCTGGCCAGTTTGGCTCAGCAGTTAGAGTGTCAGCCGGCGGATCAGAGTCCCGGGTTTGGTTCCTGCTAAGGGCACGTACCTGAGTTGCAGTTTGTCCCTGGCCCCGGTTGGGGTCGTGCGGGTGGCAGCCGGTCGATGTTTCTCTCTCTCTCTTCCTCCCTGTCTCCCTCCCACTCTCTTTGAAGATCAATGCAAAAATGTCTTCAGGTGAGGATAAAAAAAAAGGATCCCCAGGAAAATAAGGAGATCTAGACATTTTCTTCCTGATTTCTCCCACTTCTCCCCTCCCCAGAATCAGAAGAATTATTCTTTTTTTTTTTATCCTCACCCGAGGACATTTTCCATTTTTTGTTCAGGTAGAGTGGGAGGGAGAGAGAGGAACAGAGAGAGAGAGAGAGAGACATCGATGTGAAAGGGACACATCGAGTGGCTGCCACCCTCACGACCAACCAGGGCCGGGGACAAACTGCAACCGAGGTACGTGCCCTTAGCGGGAACCAAACCCGGGTCTCTCTGGACCACAGGCCAAGACTCTAACTGCTGAACCAAACTGGCCAGGGCGAATTATTCTTGATAGAATAAGGGTAGCTAGAGGCCACAGCTGGACTTGATGCCTTCAGATTGAGCAGGTTTCCTGATAGGGCAGTCTTAAATCATAATGTATTACAGAATCTGCTGTCCTGGACATTGTTCATGTTGAAAGGATATTCACCCTTAATATTACCCACTAGATATTGCTTTAACATTAAATGTGTCACTTTCTAAAGTATTATATGTGAGTTTATAGCCCTAGTCCTTTTGCAACTCAAAATTTGGCCCATGGGCCAGCAGTATTGGCATTGCCTAGGAGCTTGTAAGAGATGCAGAATCTAAGGCCCTATTCAAACCTGCTTATTTAGAATCTACATTTTAACCAGATCCCCAAATGTTTTGTGTGCATGTTTAAGTTTGACAAGCACTGATAATATTTTACACTTGTTTATAGCACTGGTTTTCTATCTTAGTTGTGCATTCAGGAGCTTTAAAAAAAAAAAGCCTGGCCAGTGTGGCTCAGTGGATTGAGCATTGTCTCATAGACTGAGAGGTCCCAGTTTGATTCCTGGTAGGGCACATGCCGGGGTTGTGGGCTTGAGCCCCAGTAGGGAAGTGGCATCCAGTTGATGTTTCTTTCTCACATCAATGTTTCTATCTCTCTCTCTCTTCTTCTCTCTCTAAAAAAAAAAAATATTAAAAAAAATAAAAACCTCTCGTCCTGGCCCAGCCGGTGTGGCTCAGTAGTTGAGCATCGATTCATGCACCAAGAGGTCCAGTATGATTTCCGGTCAGGGCACATGCCTAGGTTTTAGGCCCGATCCCAGTGAGGGGCATGCAGGATGCAGCCAATTGATATTCTTTCTCATCGTGTTTCTCTCTCTCTCTCTCTCCCTTTCCTTTCCTCTCTCTGTCCAGTTTGGCTCAGTAGTTAAAGCGTTGGCCTGTGGGCCAAAGAGTCTCAGGTTCGATTCCATTCAAGGCCATATACCTTGGTTATAGTTCAGTCCCCAGCCTGGGTTGGGGTTGTGCAGGAGGCAACCAATCGATGTGTCTGTCTCACATTGATGTTTCTCTCTCTCTCCCTCCCTATCTGAAGATTAAAAACATAAAAATAAAAATAATAATCTCTCAATATTCCTAATCTCTGGGGGGTGGACCCAGGTATCAGTAGTGTTTGAAGGTTCCCCATGTGATTCTAATGTGCAGCAGAGGTTGGATTAGAGGCAATTTGAATGCATGATTGATGCCTGATTCCTGGCATAGTCAACTAAGAGACTCCCATTTCTTTCAGCTCAGTCAAAGGCCAACTGTGGCTGAACTACTTGCCAGGAAGATTCTGAGGTTTAATGAATATGTGGAGGTAACAGATGCTCAAGATTATGACCGGCGAGCTGACAAACCTTGGACCAAACTGACCCCTGCTGACAAGGTCTGTCTCTCTCCCTTTATGCAAGACACTAACTAGAAAGGGGAACTTTAAACAAAATTTCTACTTTTAATGTAATATTAAATTTGTAATCAAGACCCAAAGTGCCAAGATGTACAAATCAAAACTTTATATTAGTGACTCTACCACCACCACCAAAACTGGAAAAAAACTAAGTCCCTGCTACATTACAGTACAAAAATCTGGAAGGAAATAAAACATATTTTTAACGATGGTTATGTTGGTTGGAGGGAGTTTGGATTGTATATTTTAGTAATTACAATGATTTACTTTTTAAATGGGAAAAGCATTTTTATATGCTGTGGAAACAATAAAAGCTACATCTCTTTTAAGCTCTTCAAGTGTTTAGATTTAACTGGAGACTGTAGGTTTATTATGAGATGGTTAGTGTTAAAGAAGGCGATGTGTATTGGCTCAGAGTTTCACCCAGTGTGTTGACTTGGCTTTTTGCTTTCCTCTGGGTTGCCTGCTGTCAGGTTACAGAACTCACAGAGTTAAGCACAATAGAGACTAGGTGGCAGATCACACTATAGCAGGCAGAAAATGCTGAAATATTTTCTTTTTTACTCCTCAGGCTGCCATAAGAAAAGAATTAAATGAATTCAAAAGCTCAGAGATGGAGGTGCATGAAGAGAGCAAACATTTTACACGGTAAGAGCCAAAAGACCCAAATACTGTGAACTAAATGTTCTACCAAAAAGCAAACATACCACCAAAGTTGTTCAGATAGGAAGGACTCTAATGATATCTTTAAAAGAGGGACACTCACTGAGCAGTTTAGCTCAGTGGTTACAGCATCGGCCCCTGGACCAATTAGTCGTGGGTTTGATTCTGGTCAAGGGCACGTACCTCAGTTGCTGTTCATCCCTGGCTCTGGTCGTGTGGGAGGCAACCAGTTGATGTGTCCCTCTCACGTTGATGTTTCTCTCTCTCTCTCCCTCCCTCCCACTCTATCTAAAGATAAATAGAAAAATATCCTTGGGTGAGGAATTAAAAAAAATAAACCTTAGAGTGGGACATTCAGCCCTGTCCGGTTTGGCTTAGCAGTTGGACCAAAGAGTCCCAGGTTTGATTCTGGCTAAGGGTACATACCTCAGGTGTGGTTCGTCCCTGGCCCTGGTTGGTGTCATACAGGTGGCAGCCAATCGATGATTCTCTCTCACATCTATGTTTCTCTCTCACATCTATGTTTCTCTCTCTCTCCCTTCCTCCCTCATTCCCTCCCTCCCTCTCTTTCTGAAGATAAATGGAAAATTATCCTCAGGTGAGGATTTGAAAAAAAAATCAACCAATGAATGAATGCATAAATAAGTGGAACAACAACTTGATGTTTCTTTCTGTTTCTCAAATCAATAAAAATAAATGAAAGTTTTAAAATTTTTTAAAAAATAAAAGAAGGACATTCAATGTTGAGTGCAAGAAGACTTCATTAAGAGAAAGAGATGAGCCTTGGCTGGTTTGGCTCAGCGGTTAGAGTGTCGGCCTGTGAACCAAAGAGTCTTGGGTTCGATTTCAGTCAAGGGCATGTACCTCGGTTGCAGTTCAGTCCCTGGCCCTGGTTGGGGCTGAGCAAGAGGCAACCAGTCGATGTGTCTTTCTCACCTCAGTGTTTCTCTGTGTCACCCCGCCATGATCACCACCATTTGAAAATAAATGTAAAGTATCCTCAGGTGAAGATTTTTTTTAAAAAGAGAGAGAGAGATGAGAGTTTAGAATCAATAGTAAATGCCTAGCCCTGGCTGGTTTGGCTCAGTGGTAGAGTATTGGCTCGTAGACCAATGAGTCCCAGGTTCAATTCCAACCAAGGGCACGTATCTCAGTTGCAGTTTGTCCCCAGCCTTGGTCAGGGTTGCGCTGGAGGTAACCAGTCAATGTACCCCTCTCATGTCGATGTTTCTCTCTCTCCCTCCCACTCTATCTGAACAAAATATCAAAAAATGTCCTCGGGTGAGGATAAAAAAATAGCAGCCCTGGCCAGTTTTGCTAAGTGTTTAGAGCGTCAGGCTGAGAACCAGAGAGTCACGAGTTCAGTTACGGTCAAGGGCAGGTACCTTGGTTGCAGTTTAGTCCCCGGCCCTAGCCGGGGTCATGCAGGAGGCAGCCAATCAATGTGTGTGTCTCTCTCTTTCTCACTCGCGCCACCCCCCCCGCCCCCAATCTGAAGATAAATGGAGAAGTATCCTCAGGTGAGGATTGAAAAAAATAATATGATTAAAAAAAAAGAAGTAAAGCAACTTGTAATATCTGGTAACTTGGCTTTTTTTGATCATCTGTTTTAGCTACCATCGTCCATGATGCTGAAGTTTGAGAGTGGAACTAAACAACCCCCCAAAACAGGGCTACTTTGCTGCTTAAATCTCCAGAATGACATGGCAGGAACTTCAGCGCTTACCAGCACAGCCAGATTTGAGTCTTCTGGGGTGAACAGCACTTCTATGAATGTAGTGTTTCACTGGAATGGATTCTCATGTTCTGCCTTGAAGCAAAACTGAACACTGACAGTGCTTTGAACCTTTTAATATTGCAGCATGCTTTGGGGTCTTCCCTCACCAGCCACAAACGTTCTGGGCCACTTGTAGGTTCCAAGTTTTATTGGCTGCACTACACCCTCGCCCCAAGATGACTGCCTGTGCTGAGGCACAGTTCCTACCATTAGCCTTACCTGCTCTGTCCTGGTTGTGAGATCCACTTGTGTAGGCGCTAAATCCCAGCCATCGAATCCAATTGGTGGTGGGGAAAACCGAGAGGGCCCCAACCTTCTAGCAAAGAGGCCCCCACTTCCAGGTAAGCCTTCCTACCACACTGGCATGTCAGCATTGCACTATACCTCTTGTAACACAGCAATAGTCTCTTCAGCCAGTCCAGCCTGAAAGAAGCTCAGGATCTGACAAGTGCTTCCTGATTTTTTTCTTCTTTTAATCTTGAAGAAGTGATGGAAACTTAGGTTCAATCTGACCTGCAACTAGATTCCAAGTTGGGGAAATGCAAAAGCATGTATGTTTTCTATATACAAAACCAAAAAAAGCTTTTTTGTTAATGCCAGCCTGGCAAAAAACTGACTCGTGGCTTAAATGTTAAAAGCTGTCATACATCCTTTGTACAAACTGACTCGTGGCTTAAATGTTAAAAGCTGTCATACTTCCTTTGTACCAAATGATACTGTAAATCATTTGACCAATAGATGTATTCTCCTCCATAAAGTAGAGTTGTAGCAACTCTGTGGAAGCATTGGTATTGTTGGCCCCGCACTTCCAGCCAGAATCACAGCGAGGTCCTAGGGATGCTAAATGGGAACAGTCTTTGGAGAAGCAATTAGGAGAGGCACAAGCATGACTGCTCCTCTCCTCCTCGACACAAATGTTTGTCCTTCTGCTGTCCCTCTGCCAGCTTCCACCTCCCTCATCCCCCCTCTTCCAAGCTGGAGCCAGTGTATAATTGGTGCCTGGGCTTTGGCTCAGCCCCTAGCCCCCCTTTTTTTTATAATATATATTAATACGATTTTCTAAAACAGAAGATTCAGTTGCTTTCTTTGAATTTTTATGAAAACCTTACATCCTCACTATTTCCCTCTAATTCCTATCCACACTAAATGGAACAGGAAAAAAAGTTTCTAACTGATGAATGTAGCTTTTTTTTCTTTGATGTTCAGAGAATTGTGGCTGTTTTATAGATTTCTTCTGCCATCCCCATTGTTCTCTATGTAATCTTTCAGTAGCTTTTTCTTTTTTTCTTCTTTATGTCCATGTATAATTTGCTGAAGAATGAGAATGTCATGTCAAAACAAAAAAGGTAAAGTGACCTTAAAAGATATTGTCCTTTCTCTGTATGGGTAATAGGAGGTATTGGATTTCTCAGCTACTGTCACATGCTTTATGGCTATGGAAATATACTGGGTTCACCTCTCCTTGAAACTAATTAGCATTTGGTATGATTGAGGGAAAGATAAATGACAACTCTACAAAGTTGTTAGAGATCTGTGTTGTTAGGGACCATACATTAACTGCTAACTTGACTTCTAACCTTTCTGTCTTGTTAGTTTGGAGATTACTTGGCTTATGCCAGAATTCTCTGTGGTTTAAGATGACATTTTCAAACCCTTTACTGCCTGTCTTTCCCTTAATGTGCCAAGCTTGAAATAGGATTTAATTTTCTGAGATACTTGTCTGCTTTTGTGTGCCACCAAGAAATTTAATCATCTTTCATCTCATGTTCTTTTGAAACAAGATACTTTGGGGGTCAAGTCTTTTCAGGTGTTATATATATGTATATATATAAAGGATTTTGTGTCCTTTCCATGTAAGTAACAATTCACAATCATAATGTATAGAAGAAATAAAATCCTGATGTATTGTACTTCAAAATGCTTCCGTGATGTACAGAATCTCCTTGTAAAATAAATAATTGCATTGTATATCAGTCTTCCTACCAACATTAATTATTAAAGTATTTTAGAATTTTAAAAAAACTACTATTCTGGTATGAAGTGTTTGTTTTCCTTATTCCAAAAGATTTAAAGCAGCTTTAAAATGATACCTAAAATACTGCTAGACACCCTAAATGGGAAGTAGATGTAGACAAGGAGGGGAAAATAATAGTAAGAACATTAAGTATTGCTGGAGATGAAAGTCAGTCATGTTTGTGAATTGTCTACACACATGGGGGAAAAGAATAGGCTGCAGAGAGGAAAGCCAACTAAGAACCCCATAGAATGTACCAGGTACTGCACTCAGTCCTTTATCCTATTTATCCCACCCTAGTCTGGGAGGTAAGTGGAAACATACTCATTTTACCAGTGAAGAACCTAAGAGTTGAAGTTGCTTCCCCAAGGTCAAAGTAAATTACGTAATCACTCTGCATATATTCAAGGACAAGCAATTGCATCCCAATCATCCCTACAAGGATTACTCTGTATGGACCACATATAATTAGACCTCATGCTGACATCACACAATAACACAGTTAAGCCCAGCTAGTGTGGCTCAGTGGACTGAGTGTCATCCCACAGATAGAAATCCAGGTTCAATTCCTGTCAGGGCACATGCCTGGGTTGCGGCCCAATCCCCAGTATGGGGCGCACAGGAGGCACAATGCTTCTCACACATCCATGATTCTATCTCTCCTTTCCTCTCTCTAAAAATCAAATAAAACATATATATAAAAGACAGTTCATGCTCATACTCATATACTCCTCTCTAGCTAGCAGCCCTGTTTCATTCCAGGTGGCCTCACCAGTGACTCACTTTCTACTGGTCACTTTTGAGACTGGCCTCGATTAGTGCACCAGCCTTTAGCAAGGGTGTAAAGAAACCATGCGTCTTGCCCTGGCCGGTTTGGCTCAGTGGTTAGAGTGTTGGCCTGCGGTCTGGAGAAACCATGCGTCAGAGTTCATGTCATTGGATTCCACCTGCTCCCAAATTTTCCTTCTAATCCTCCAAAGAGGCCTCAAATTGTCATTACCCTTTTTTTTAATCCTCACCCAAGGACATTTTTTCATTTTTTGTTCAGATAGAGTGGGAGGGAGAGAGGAAGAGAGAGAGAAACATCGACGTGAAAGGGACACATTGAGTGGTTGCCACAGCACAACCCAACCAGGGCCGGGGACAAACTGCAACCAAAGTACATGCCCTTAGTGGGAACTGAACCCGGGTCTCTCTGGACCGCAGGCCGATGCTCTAACCACTGAACAAAACTGGCCAGGGCGTCATTACCCTTTTGAGGTCAAGCATTATCTCCAAAAGAGTGTTTTGCAGGTGCACGTTGACCAGTTTTGGCTGAAACAATGAGTGAGTTTAGGGTTCTTATGGATTTAGATTACTTTACCCCAGGAGTGGGAGGAATAGTAGAGTGAGAGGTTTGGAAAACTATCAAAAAGGAATAGTCCAGTGGATATTAAGTGGGAGGGGATAGGATAGGAAGTGTACTTATAAAAAATGGGAATATACAACAAAGAAAAGCCAAGCCCTGAAATCAAAACACAGGAGACCTGAAGGGAGTTCCATCTCTCTTTTGTGGATACCAATAATTTCCTCCCCAAGAATTTTTACCTCTTTCATAAAACATGGAGGTCATCTGACAAGAGCAAACACCCTCAATTTCCCTCCATCTGGTACTGAGAAGACACACACATTCATTCATTCATTCGTTCGTTTGTTCGTTAATTCATTTGTGCAGAGTTAACACAATGAAAAAAGCAAAGAAAGTATTATGAAATAGCTTTAACCTCATGGACCCCCCCAAAAGAATCTGGGGGGACTTCCGGTCAAGATGGTGGCGTAGGTAAACGCGGTATCGCGTCCTCCCACAACCACATCAAAGTTACAACTAAACTACAGAACAACCATCATCCAAAACCGCCTGAAATCAAGCTGAATGGAAGTCCTACAACTACGGAATTAAAAAAAAAAAAAGCAGGTACATCCAGACTGGTAGGAGGGGCGGAGGCGCGAGGGGTGGCGGGGGTGGCGGCGACGGGCTGGTCCCACACCCAAGTGTGGCGGATAAAAATCAGGAGGCTCCCGCGGCTGGGAAGGTCCTTCCTGAAGACTGAGGGGTCCCTGTCCCACACCAGGTGCCCTGCTCAGGGTTCCAGTGCCAGGAAGAGAAGTCCCCATAACTTCTGGCTGGAAAAACCAGCGGGAACTGAGGCTCAGGGAGGCTGAGGCGGCTGGAGCCCCAGGCAGCTCCCTAAAGGGCCCGCGCACGGACTTATCGGACTCACTTCCTCTAAGCTTGGAGGGGAGGCAGCTCAAGGGGCACCAGAGAAATACAGGGAAGAACTGAGCTGTTTGGCACTGGAGCGAGGGCTGGAGAGGGGGCTTCCTCGGGGACAAACGTGCTGTAAGAGGCCTTTGTTCCTTTGGTGAGCCCTTCCCGGGAGCGGCAGACAGAAGCCATATCTGGGACTCCAGCAACCTGGCTCACACTGGTAGCCCCGCCCTGCTGACTCCCTGAGGCCCCGCCCCGCCCCACACAACTTTCAAGCCCACCCAAGCTGTTGCCACTTGCTTAACCATAGGATTGGCCGGTCTTGGATTCTGCTTCAGGTTTTTCCTAAATTCTTTCAAACGAGCAGCATCTGGTCTCAGCTAGCCCCATACCTCTCATTAAGTAATACACAGAAACAAACACAGGGAGGCAGCCAAAATGAGGATACAAAGAAACAGGTCCCAAATGAAAGAACAGAACAAAACCCCAAGAAAAGAACTAAGCGAAATGGAGATAAGCAACCTAACAGATGCTGAGTTCAAAATACTGCTTATAAGGATGCTCAATGAACTCAGTGAGGGCCTTAAGAGCATAAAAAAGGACCAGTTAGAAATGATCGATGCACAGTTAGAAACGAAGGAGGCTTTAACTGAAATAAAGAATAATTTACATAGCTTCAATAATAGAGTACGTAAATCCAAGGAGCAAACCATTGATTTGGAATATAAGGAAGCAAAAAACGCCCAATCAAGAACAGCAAAAAGAAAAAAGAATCCAAAAAAATGAGGATAGAGTAAGGAGCCTCTGGGACAACCTCAAGCGTGCCAACATTCGCATCTTGGGGGTGCCGGAAGGAGAAGAGAGAGAACAAGAAATCGAAAACCTGTTTGAAACAATAATGGCAGAAAACTTTCCTAACTTGGTGAAGGAAACAGACATACAAGTCCAGGAAGCACAGAGAGTCCCAAGCAAGATGAACCCCAAGAGGCCCACACCAAGACACATCATCAAAATGCAAAAGGTTCAAGACAAAGAGAGAATCTTAAAAGCAGCAAGAGAAAGGCAGCTAGTTACCTGCAAGGGAGTTCCCATTAGGCTGTCAGCTGACTTCTCAAAAGAAACTTTGCAGGCCAGAAGGGAGTGGCAAGAAATCTTCAGAGCGATGAAAACCAAGAACTTACAACCAAGATTACTGTAGCCTGCAAAGCTGTCATTCAGAATCGATGGACATATAAAAGCTTTCCCAGACAAGAAAAAGTTAAAGGAGTTCATCACTACCAAACTGTTATTATATGAAATGATGAAGGGTCTTTTTGAAGAAAAAGATAAAATGTATGAACAAACAAAATGGCAATGAATACATATCTATCGACAATGGAATCTACAAACAAAATGAACAGGAAGAACAGAAACATTCTCATAGATACAGAGAACATTTTGTTGATTGCCAGTTGGGAAGGGGGTTGGGGGAATGGGTGAAAAAGGTGAAGGGATTAAGAAGTACAAATTCATTGCTAGACTGACAAACCTCAAAGGGAAAGGGGTTGGGGGGGTGGGAAGAGATAAACCAAAGAACTTATATGCATAACCAATGGACACGGACAATAGTTTGGGAAAAGGTGGGAGGGGGGCGGGAGGGGGGAGGAGGGGGTTAATGGGGGAAAAATGTGGAACATCTGTAATACATTTTACATCCAACAATGAAGATGTGAAAAAAAAAAAAAAATCTGAGGGACCGCAGGGTCCAGCATAGTCCAGCTGCAATGGCTTTATGTCAATTATCTAACATTTATTCACCTAACTCACTCGAAATTCTATCATATTTGTAACATTTCACTATAATATGTATTTCAGAATTCTTTATATTAGGTGTGCGTGTGCTAAAATATACTTAATATAAAGTTTACCATTTTAATAATTTGTAAGTGTACAATTCAATAGTATTGTATATTCATAGGCGCTTTTGATTTTAGTCATTTCGCGTAGGAATGACTAAAATTGTCTTATTTATGCATTTATCAAATGTTTATTTCACACATGACGGCACGATCTCTTTTGAGACTTTTCACGTTTCTCTAGATGTCTTTTTCTATTTTGCATACTTATTACGCCAGTTATTTTTGGTGAATTTATTTAATAGCACATTCTCCAGATTGGGTGAACTGAGTGTAGAGCAGTAAATTTGCTATTAGAAACGCACCTATCCATCTACAATACTTAACGCACTTCCTGTGATTTACATTCCCTAGCAAAGTCGCGCGTGAAGGTTCTCGTGTCGCGAGAATCCTCTGTTCCTGATTGGGGTGGGGCTTAGCCGGCTGTAGATTCCCAGCACCCTCAGCGAATTTCTGATTGCCTGACTGCGCATGGTGCAGCGCAGGCGCAATAGGCATATCCGCTTCAAAAGGTATAAATAGGAACGCCTTGGGCTTGCTCGGTCTTTTGAGGGAATGTCTTTGCTCTGTACTTGAGGCTTCTGGTGAGTATTTTTTTCTCTCCTTGGTTTGTCAGATCTAGGTCTAGTACCCCGGTCCTGGCAACCAGCCTTCCCTGTGGAGATGAAGCTATTTAGAAAGGTTGCCTTCAGCGGCATTTGTGTGCTAACCACACTTAACTCTGCAGTGGTGCTGGATTGGATAGGGGCTGTGTAGTTCTCGCGATCCGCGGGTGATGGCGGTAACCACGAGGCGCTCGCGCCGAACTGCGACCGTATTTGCGGAGAGGCTAAAAACGCAGCCTCCCTCCACCCCATGCCAGTTGCCCATTATTACCCTGCCTCCTAGATTTGCGATGTCTTCGATGGCGTTGCACGCAGGCATTTTATTCCCATTCCCCACCCGCATTTGAGTCCTGATTTCGAAAGGGAGGCTCTAGATGGTCGGTTTAAAGGTAGGAAGATTAACTGCTGTCTAAACGGCTCTGTATCTACCATTTCTTTGGCAGAGTGCTAATCGCTTATTATATGTTTGTGGTGTGTGTCTGAAAATGAGGTTACAAACAAGACTGCTGATGAGCCTTGAACTCAAGTTTTGTTGACTTTTTGAGGAGTTGAGGATTCACCCCAACGTGAATGTCACTGTCGTCTGGATAAAATTAACTTATCACACCATAATCTATGAACTAAATGAATAGTGACCGACGTGGATACCCCGGGCGGTCACTCTCCCCGGGCTCTGTCCAGGTGGCGTAGGGGAGCATAGGGCTCTGCCCGATGATGTACAGTCCCTTTCCACATCGTTGGAGAGAAAGCCGGGCCTTGAGTCTGCGCCTGCATATTCCTACAGCTTCTCAGAGTCCTGTGGACAATGACTGAGGAGAAAAACCATGCAGGAAACATCCTTTTAGAGCAGTAATTTTTCAACCGGGGTGCTGCAGTAATTGTTAAAAGTATGTATTTTGGTGCACTGTGAAGTAAAAAGAGTTAAAAATTGCTGCTCTAAAACACCTCCTCTGGATATGGGTTGTTGGAAATGAATAAATATTTTGCCCTGGCCGGTTTGGTTCAGCGGTTAGAGCGTGGGCTTGCGGGCCAAAGAGTCCTGGGTTTGTTTCCGGCCAAGGGCACGTACCTGTACCTCAGTTGCAGTTCGTGTGAGGCAACCAATCCATGTGTCTCTCTCCCCTTTTATCTGAAGATAAATGGGAAAAGGTACTGGGGTGGGGATTTTTTTTTTTTTTTAATGAAATTTTTTGCTGTAATCAGTTATATTGTAGTGTGCTAGATTAAGCTCTTACCTTGTTTTGCAGCCTTCGTTCAAGATTTCGGCTAACTTGATTTGAGGTAAGTAAATCTGAATTGATTCTGGCTTATCAGTTTTGCCTGTCATCATTTTGCATAAAACATTTAATCATTTTGAGCTCAGTCCCCTTTCGTGAAGGTGCTGTTGCTGTGGTTAATCCGTTCAGGTGGAAATCTTTGCTACATATTTGTAGGTGTGTTGGCAATATTTTAGATGCACTTCGTTCGTGTTCTGTGGAGATATTTTGAATGACAGTGATTAAGTAGATAAACCTTGAAATACTACATAGAAAGTATTGGTTTGGAATTTGTTAAAAACAATAGCTAAACCAACAGGCTCTCCCCACCACTACATATAGTGTGCAGTGTGGGATGAAGGTTTTGAAGGGCAATGCTGTTTAGCGGTGGCTTTGTCTACTCCAATTTGTGATTAATGAGGCACTCCCAACGTGGATACCCTGGGAGGTCACTCTCCCCAGGCTCTGTCCAGGTGGCGTAGGGGAGCATAGGGCTCTGCCCGATGATGTACAGTCCCTTTCCACATCGTTGGAGAGAAAGCCGGGCCTTGAGTCTGCGCCTGCATATTCCTACAGCTTCTCAGAGTCCTGTGGACAATGACTGAGGAGAAAAACCATGCAGGAAACATCTAGCACACTAAAATTTTAAGTTTTTAAATTAATATTCTGAATGCGTCTGATCATTTTTTCTGTTTTCATTCAGGAAAGAAGAGGAGCTGCCTCACTTTTTTGGAAGTTGACAATGCTTTTTGGGTTCTCCATTTGACTGGGAAATTTGGTGCAGTGAAAACTATTTCTGGAAGATAAGTAACTGCCCTTGGGAGTACAGAAAGAACAGGACAGAGATGCAAATTCTCGGTCATAACCCCAGATCTGTATTAACTGGTTGACTAATAGAATGTTCCATTGGTCAGGTGACCCCTTGAAATTTATAAGGGATTACAAAAAATGCTGAACATGGGCAGGTCTAATAAGACAGTATGGTTGTTGGACCAAGAAAACTTGGAACTAAAATGATACTTGAGTCTAGCCAGTGTGGCTCAGTAATTGTCAACCCATACACCCAGAGGTCGCTGGTTTGATTCCGAGTCAGGACACATGCCCAGGTTGTGGGCCCAATCCCCAGTGGGGGGCATGCAGGAGGAAGCCAATAGATGTTACTATCTCCCTTCCTAACTGCACAGCTGAATTAACAGAAGGCAGAATCCCATGAGAACCTAGATGTCTTTATTAAAGATACATTTCTAATGTATGAATTACAATAAAAGTGACTATGTTATAATAAAGATGACTGTGTTAAGTGTGGTTTCTTTTTTTTATATAGAAGTGATTGGTGTCAGCCAAAACTGTTCCATGAATGGAGTGCTATAGCAGTTAATACCTCATTGGTTCCACCCTAAAGACCCTTAGCTCTTACCTGCCCCCTGTATCCTCTTGTGCTCTTTGTGTTTTAACTTTATTTTTTTAATTGGAGATCATTTTATAGTATGGGACAGATTGGGGTGGTACCAGGGTCTATAGTGATGAATTTCCCTGGGGTAAACAGCATTGGCACATACAGGACAGGGAAACAAAGCCAAGTGGGTCAAAGGCCCAGGCCCAACCTCAGTAGCTATGACCTGGGGACCTGGGGGATGAGCAGGGTGTTGGTCCCATAGCTCCTGTTAGGCTATCAATTCCCAGTTAGCAAACACTTGAGCCTAGAATAGAGTTGCCATGAGTGATGTGAGGTTGGGTCACAATGGGGGTGAAGCTCTTGTACAGGCTGCCAGCACTGTAGGTGTGTAATCAGCCCTGAAGGATGGGGACAAGTGGGGAACCATCTAGAAGGTAGAGTCTAGATCCTGGTGGCGCTAAGGGAACATAGTATGGGGAGGTAGAATGGCCATGAAACCATTCAGAAATCCTTGGGGTCAGATTTAAGGGAAGTGTGAAATTTGGGTTTTAGTGGGTCCAAATTGATGTGTACTGTCCAGATGGAGCGTTACATAAATGGTGTTCAGGGTCAGAGCATAATAGATTTGGGAATGGGAGCTATTTCATATAGCCATAATTATGGAGAGCAGCCTGGGAGAACTTGTTGATTGCTTGGACAGGTAGCACTTGCATATGTTAATCCCCACAATTTTGAAGTGAGTGTTAATCTAATAACCTAGTTTCAGATGAAAAAATTGAAAGGCTAATTTGCCCAAAATCACAGCTAGTAAGGAGTCTGCACAGCAAAGGTAACACCACCATCCCCACCCAGGCAGACTTGCTGGAAGAGAGCCAGATGCAGGGCAGGGTCCTGTTCATCCCTAGGACCAGCCCTCATCTTGGTATCTGCCACTTCCTGTCTGGAGAATAGGTGCTCAGCTTTTCCCTACAACCAGAGAAGGATGATCCTTTTTTTTTTTTTAATCCTCACCTGAGGATATTTTTCTGTTTATCTTCGGATAGAGAAAAGGAGAGAGAGAAACATGGATGTGAAAGGGACACATTGGCTGCCTCCCACACAGCCCCAAGCAGGGCTGGCGACAAACCATGTGCCCTTGGCCAGAATCAAATCTGTGAATCATTGGTCCGTGGGTCGATGCTCTACCGCGGTGCCAAACACACCAGGGCGAGAAAGATTATACTGATGTTAAGTACAAATTCTTAGGATAGGGCCAGATAACTCATGCTTGGCAGGAAACACGCATTTCTCTCTCCTGATGTCCAAATAGAGCTGAAGTGAAGCTGTCAACATGTATTCTAGGTCCCACCCTTCCTGTTAAATTTCATCTTAAAACATACCTGTCTAGACTTTCCAAACAGGCTTTTCTGACCTTTTTCTGCACTTAGGCAATCATATTGGTTGCTGCCCAACTTGGAGTCACACTGCCTAGTGTTGAATGCAGATACCACCACTTACTGTGTATGTGACCTTGGGCATGCGACTTAATCTCTCTCTGCCTCAATTTCCTCCCCCACATAATGAGGATGCTAAAAGTACCTGCCTACCTCTTGGGCCCTGGTCGGTTTGGCTCAGCGGTTAGAGTGTCAGTCTGCAGACTGGAGAGTCCTGGGTTTGGTTCCCACTAAGGACATGTACCTCAGTTGTGGTTTGTCCCTGCCCCGGTTGGGGTCGTGCGGGTGGCAGCTACTCCATGTGTCCCTCTCACATCGATGTTTCTCTCTCTCTCTCTTCCTCTCCCTCCCACTCTATCTGAACAAAAAATGGAAAAATGTCCTCGGGTGAGGATAAAAAAGAAAAGAAGTATGGAGCCCGGCCGGTGTGGCTCAGTGGATTGAGCACCATCCCATGGAACCAGGCACAAGCCTGGGTTGTGGGCTCAATCCCCAGTAGGGGGGTGTGCAGAAGGCAACCAATTGATGTATCTCTCTCACATCGATATATCGATGTTTCTATCTCTTCCTCTTTGTCTAAAAAAATCAATAAAAACATTAAAAAGGGAGAGAGAGAAAATGGAGTATTGACATTTCCAACTTTAGCTGTGGATTTATCTGTTAGAAGTGATATGAGCTTTTGCTTCGTGTATTTTGGGAAGTTTTTTATTTGTTTGTTTTAATCCTCACCCAAGGATATTTTTTTCCCACGGAATTTTAGAGAGAGTGGAGGGAGGGAGAGAGAGAAACACCAATGCAGGAATTGAACCTGCAACCCAGGTACGTGCCTTTGACCAGCAAGGGAACCCGAAACCCCTCGATGCTCAGTCCACTGAACCACAGCAGCCAGGCCTCTTTAACTTTCTTTTGACTGGTGTTACCAGAATATGTCTTTTTCTATCCTTGTATTTTTAACCCATTTGTGTGTATTATATTTAAAGTGTATTTCTTTTTTCTTTTTTTCTGCATTTATCTTCAGATAGAGTGGGAGGGAGAGAGGAAGGGAGAGAGAAAAACATCAATGTGAGAGAGACACATCGACTAGTTGCCACCCAGACGGCCCCAAACAGGGCCGGGGACAAACCGCAACCGAGGTACGTGCCCTTAGCAGCAACCGAACCCAGGACTCTCTGGTCCGCGGGCCGACGCTCTACCCACTGAGCAAAACCGGCCAGGGCTAAAGTGTATTTCTTGTAGGCAGTGTATAGTTGGGTCTTTTTTTTAAGAGAGAGAAACATCAATTTATTGTTCCACTGATTTAGGCATTCATTGGTCTGACCCGGGATCAAAACCACAACCTTGGCATGCTGGAATGACACTCTAACCAACTGTGCCACCCAGCCGGGGCCTAGTTGGTTCTTGTTTTCTTAATTTATGATAATCTCTGGCTTTTAATTGGAGTGTTTAGACCATATTTATTTTATTTATTTATATGATTAATATGCTTAGATTTGAGTCTTAATCATCGGGATATTTTCTTTTTAAATTTTTTTCAATTATAGTTGATAAACAATATTATATTAGTTTTTTTTTATTTTATTTTTTTATCATCCTCACCAGAGGACATTTTTCCATTCCCTGTTCAGATAGAGTGGGAGGGAGAGAGAGGAACAGAGAGAGAGAAACATCGATGCGAAAGGGACACATCAAGTGGTCACCACCCGCACAACCAACCAGGGCAGGGGACAAACTGCAACCGAGGCACGTGCCCTTAGTGGGAACCGAACCCGGGTCTCTCCGGACCGCAGGCCGATGCTCCAACCGCTGAGCCAAACCGGCCAGGGCAATATTATATTAGTTTTAGGTGTACAACATAGTGATTAGACATTTATATAACCTATGAATTGATCACCCCAAGAAGTCTAGTACCCCTGTGATACCATACTGATAGATAATTGTTTTCTTTACTTTTTTTTAAATTTTATTTTTGTTACAGGTGTTTCTCGATAATTGTTTTCTATTTGTCTCATCTGTTGTTTATTCTTTGTTCTTTCTTTCTGCCTTTTTAAAAGATAAGTATCTTTTATTTATTTATTTTTATTATATCTTATCTTCTTTATTGGCTTACTAGCCAGACATTCTTTTTTTTACTTTTGAATTTGTTTTTTGGGTTTATAGTATACAGAATCCACGTTCAATTGATATTATACCACTTCATCTATTATAGTATAAGAACTTTACAATATATTTCTCACTCCACAGGTTTAGTTATTATTGTCATGTATTTTACTTATATATGTTATAAAACCCACAATACATACTATTTTTGTTTAAATAGGTAATTGCCTTCAAGGTGTTTTTTTTTAATCACATATTTACCCAAGTTATTATATTTTCATTCCTTTGTGTAGATCCAGATTCTCATCTAGTATCACTTTCCTTCTGCCCAAAGGTCTTCCTTTGGCATTTCTTTTACTATGAGTCTGCTTGCAATGAGTTCTTTCAGCCTTTGTATGTCTGAAAATTCCTTAATTTCCCCTTCATTTTTAAAGATGTTTTTGCTGGATATACTTTACTAGATATGATTTTGCTAGTGTACTTTAGAAATGTTTCTCCACATTGTCTTCTTGGTTGCATTGTATCCTTGCTTTTGTTTCTCTGTATATAATGTTGCATTGTATCCTTGTCTTATTCCTCTGTACATAATGTCTTTTTTCTAACTGCTTTTAAGATTTTCTGTCATTGGTTTTGAGCAATTTTATTTGATGGGCCTTTTTTCTTGTACTTGGAGTTCCTTGAGCTTCTTGGATTTTGTAGTCAGAGTTTGACAGAGAAACAGAACCAGTAGAATGTAGATAGCTGATAGATAGATAGATAGATAGATAGATAGATAGATAGATAGATAGATAGATGATAGATAGATTTTTAAAAATTTTTCATGGATTCTTTAGGGAAAGAAAAAGGGAGAGAGAAACATCGATGTGAGAAAGATACATCAATTGGATGCCTACTGCACGCCCCTTACTGGGGATCGAGCCTGCAATCCGGGCATGTGCCCTGATCGGGAATTGAACCTGGACCTCTCAGTCCATGGGGCGACGTTCAATTCACTGAGCCACACCAGCCAGATGATAGATGGATAGTTTAAGGAACTGGCTCAAGTGGTTGTGGAGACTGGCAAGTCTGAAATCTGTAGGTTGGAAATTCAGGAAGAATTGATGTTGCACTCTTGAGCCAGGAGGCAGACTTGGTAGAATTACTTATTTTAAAACCTTCAACTGATTGAACAAGGCCTACCCAAATTATGGAAGTTAATCTGCTTTCCTCAAATTCTACTGATTTAAAGGTTATATCTAAAAAATACCTTCACTGTGCTGGCCCAATGTGGCTCACTGGTTGAGCATTGGCCCATGCACCAAGAGGTAACCAGTTTGATTCCCAGTCAGGGCACATGCCCAGGTTGTGGGCCCAATCCCCAGTGGGGAGCATGCAGGAGGCAGCCAATCAATGTTTTCTCTTTCCCTCTCCCTTCCTCTCTCTCAAAAATAAATAAAGAAAAAAATTTTTTTAATACCTTCACAGCAACATCTAGATTGGTGTTTGACCAAACAACTGGGCACTGGGCACAACAGCTAGCCAAGTTGACATGTAAAATTAATCATCACAGATTTGTAGTTTATAGTTTGGACATTTTTTAGTCATTATTTCTTCATATATTTTCTGTCTCCAGCTTTTTCTTGCTTTCAGGATTTCCAATTGCCTGTATATTAGGTCCCTTAAAGTGGTTCTATAGCTCACTAATGCTAATTTTACATTTAAAAAATTATTATTTTTTCTGTGTGTTTCATTTCGAATTGTTTCTATTGCTATGCCTTCAAGTTCACTATTCATTGCTTTTGCAGTATCTAATCTATTATTAATTCCATCCAGTGTATTTGTCATCTTAGATAATATCAAGAATTTCACTTTGGGCCCTGGCCGGTTTGGCTCAGCAGTTTAAACATCTGCCCTTGGACCAAAGGGTGGCAGGTTTGATTCCTAGTCATGGGCATGTACCTGGGTTGCAGGTTCGATCCCTGGCAGGCTGTGTGGGAGGCAGCCAATTAGTGTGTCTCTCTCACATCGATGTTTCTCTCTCCTTCTCTTTCTCTCACTCCTACCTTCTCCCTCCCTCCCTCCCACTCTATCTAAAAATCGGTGGAAAAATATCCCCAAAGAATTTTATCACTTTGGGTCTCTTTGTATCTTTACTTAACTTTTGAGCATGTGGGGGTATAGTTATAATAACTTTTTTTAATCCTCACCCATGAATATGTTTTGTTTTTTTTATTGATTTTTAGAGAGATGGAGAGAGAGAGAGAGAGAGACAGAGAGAGACAGAGAGAGACAGAGAGAAACATTGATGTGAGAGGGAATATCAATCAGTTGCCACCCATACATGCCTCGACAGGGGATTTAACCTGAAATATTTGGGGGTACAGGACGACACTACAACCAATTGAGTCACCTGCCCAGAGCAGTTATAATAACTTTTAATGTCCTTCACTTCTAATTCTATCATCTGTGTCAGTTCTGGGTTGAGTTCAACTACTTGTTCTCCTTATTATGGTTTGTGTTCAATAAATAAAACAATCATAGAATTGAGCTTTGGGTTCAAAGAAGGCTTCGTGGAAATAAAAACTGAACCTTAAAATATATCAAGAATTCACGATGGGAGCATGATACAGTGTGAAGATGATGTTTGTTGAGTTGTGCACTTGAAACCTATATGGTTCTGTGAACCAATGTCACCCCAATAAATTCAATTTTATAAAGTTATGCCCGGCTGGTAAAGTTACACTCAGTGGTTTAATCTCAACCCATGCACCAAGAGGTTGCTGGTTCAATTCCTGGTCAGGGCACATGCCCAGGTTGTGGGCCTGATCCCCAGTGGGGGGCATGCAGAAGGCATCCAATCGATGTTCTCTCTCATCGACATTTTTATATCTCTCTCCCTCTCCCTTCCTCTCTCTCTAAAAAATAAAAATAAAAAATTACAGCCCCCCCCCCCCAAAGAAAAGAATTCAGCAAGGTAGGAAGAAATGCACCTGGTAGGAGAACAGCCCAGATAAAGGGTAAGAAGGTAGCCCTGGACGGTTTGGCTCAGCGGTTAGAGCGTTGGCCTGCAGTCCAGAGAGACCGACCCGAGTTCGGTTCCCGCTAAGGGCACGTACCTCGGTTGCAGTATGTCCCCGGCCCTGGTTGGTCGTGGGGGTGGCAGCCACTCGATGTGTCCCTTTCATGTCAATGTTTTTCTCTTCCTCTCTCTCCCTCCCACTCTGTCTGAACAAAAAATGGAAAAATGTCCTTGGGTGAGGATTAAAAAAAAAAAGGGTAAGAAGGTAGGAATGAGCATGAGTACCTTCAGAGTACAGTGCTGAGGGGAAATGAGAAATCAATAGCTTGGGACATTTGCCACTTGGTCCTGCAATCACAGCACCAAAGAAATATCTAAGAAATATCTAAGTTTTTAAGGATCTCTAAACAGGGCAAGGTTTCTCAGCCATGATTTAGGGAGACTAACCTGGGGATATTGGTGGAATGAAATGGAGGGGAAGAAATGAGAGGTGGGAGTAGAGTCCAGGAGGGTGGTGTTTTTGACCAGAGGGGCAGAAATAGACACATGAAGAGAGGAAAGGGAGGAATCAGAAAAGAAACCTTAACTTTAGCTGGAAGGATGAAGTTGGGGGTGTCTAGAATCATGGGTGTTGGGTTACCTGGGTAGAGATGTAGGGCTGAAATAGGGTGGAGGGCAAATGGGCTGCCCTCTCAATTAAAAGGGCCCTGAACAAGAGTTCTGGCCCCTTCTACCACTTGTATGATGAATCCAGAAAAAGTCCTCTTTGAACCTGGTTTTTCTCACTTTCCAACTGTCATGAGGTTTTTGTGAGGAACAAATGTGCTAAAGAACATGGGTGGACATGTTTCTGTAGTTAACAAAGTAAAGGGTTTTAGAAAATAGGTGATAATAGTAATAATCATTTTTATAATTACATTAAGCCATGTGAATGACTAAGATCTTGGAGGAGGACAGCAGAGAGAGAGATCAAAGATCCCAGGGCTTAAACTTGGAGAAATTTCGCAGTACTATATCATCCAAAGGAGGAGTCCGTGATGGAGGCAGAGGTAAACTTGAAGAGGTAAGAGACCCTCAAGACAGGGAGTACTTTGGGGTGGGCTCTGCATAGTAAAAGAAATTCAGTTGGTAAACACTCATCAAAAGTGCCCTGGCCAGTTTGGCTCAGTGGTTGAGCATCGGCCTGTGGACCAGAGAGTCCTGGGTCCGGTTCCCACTAGGGGCAGGTACCAGTTAAAAAAGGGGGGGGGGGTATCCACCTATCTGGGTATGATAGAATGACTTTCAGAGTCAGAATCAACATTAAATGGAGAAAATACCCTTCTGCAGAGGTCACTCTTATGACCAGGCAAACACCCCAGACAATCAAATGGCCAGAGAGGTCACCTTGGGGAACACCTGAAATCTTCAATAACTGTTTGTGTCCTTCGTGAAGAACGAGTGTGTTCACAAGAGAGGGCCGTCTACTTGGTACCTATTTTTCTTCTTCAGTCCCAAACCCCAATTCACACCTTCTTTCTAGTCTGGTCTCTCCACTCCACTTGCTGCCCCCATTCTTGGTTTCTCCTTCTCCCAAGTCCATTCTCCATTCTGTTCTAAAACAAAAATCTACTCATATCACTCACATGGTCAAATCCCTTCACAGTTCCCCATTGCCTCGGGATAGAGGCTGCACTCCGTAGACACACAAGACAGGGCTCCAGTGCTCTCGCCTGTCACTCCCACAAGTACTCTCTGCTCCAGCCAGATCTTCTTAACAGTTTCCCACAACCACCCTAGGCTCTCATCGCTCCCTGTCATTGCAAGGGATGCTTCTCCTAGGATGTCTTGGCTTCTTCGAGTTAACTTGGAAAGCCTTTTTTAAGACCCAGGCTGAGTCAGGTGCCCCTGTGCGTACTCTTTTCATAGCTCCGTGTTGGTAGTCTGATTTCTCATCTTTCTCCAAGAGACCTTCTTGAAAACAGGGACGATCAGTATCTCTTTTCTCTGTACAGTCTCTTCTACACAAAATATTCCCATAAACAAACCTTGTTTTCAAATGGTTTTTCTAGTTGTTGGGCCACTTGTTTCTATTTGGGGTCTCCAAAATATACATCCACTGTACCTGTGGAATACCGGTGGAGAGCCTGGTCTAGAGCTCCCTACCGGGAGCGTGATACTTGCACTTCCCGGGGCGGCCGCCAGGGGCCGCTAGACCCTTTGTTTTCTTTTCTGGCCCGGGTCGGGGCCCGAGGCCTGCAGAGCGCATGCTCTGGGGCAGTTCGCGGCCCAGCGGGTGAGCAGAGTTTCTCGTAGCTGATCTGCACCGAGGTAGGTTGCGCGCGTCGCGGGCGAAGGGTCGTGGAGGGCGGCGCGCTGAGTGACCACAGCCAGAGCACGGGGTGGAGGGAGGTGCTCGGCGGGCTGGGGCCGTTGCTCGCACGCGCTTGGTTACGCGGCGACGGCTCCACGTGAAGCCCGGCGGCAGGAAGGCGCAAGTGCCGGTGCGCGTGTCCCGGTTCCGCCGGGCGTCCGGGCGCGGGCCGGCTCCGGGCTCCGCCTCGCTCGAGCGAAGGCCCGGTGGCCCCTCAGCCGCAGCGCCTCTCACGTCCGGCCCGCGGCGCCAGCGCGGGCGGGAGATTCAAACGGCCCCTGCGCCGCCGGGGTGCGCGCGGCCGCGGTGACCTCGCTGGCCGGGGCGTGCAGACCCGTTCGCCTCGCTGGCCGCAGCCGGCCGCCCTGGCGGGGCAGCGTTTCCGGAGCGAGAGTAGTGGTTTTGACCAGGCTTCGTTTGGAGAACTCGGTTTACAGAGTGGAGAAGGAACCCTGCCTGGCGAGGGTCTGCTTTAGGAGCTCGAGGGTAGGCTGGTGAGGGTCTGCAGCAGGGAAAGAAGTCTCAGCATCAACAGGCTCCAAGACAACTGTTGACTGGTTGGAGAGGTGTGCTGTGAACTCCACATCAACTCATCTGTCAACAGATTATTTACTGGCTGTCTACCCTGTGCCACTCTTTCAAGGCTGGGGAACAATGGTGAGAAGGGTCCCATGTGGCCTTTAAGGAACTTCCGGTCTCCTTGCGGAGACCCATGTGGGACCACAATTACATAAGTGTGATCACTGATGTATGCTGCCCAGCCAGGGGCGCTGCTGCTGGCAAGTCATTCGTTCATCAAATACTAATTAAGATGCTCCAACCAAGTGTCCTAGCAGAAGTTGAGTGTATGGAGTGCTACACAAGAACTCTGAGGGTATCTTCACCCAACCCTGCCCAGGAGGGTCAGAGATGGCTTTCCAGGTGAGGGAACTCTTGAACCATGTTTTAAAGGAGCTGTAGAGTTATTCTAGCAGAACTGGGGGTGGAAGGATTAGGGTGTTCCAGGCAAAGGAAACAGCACATGCAAAGGCATGAAGGTCTAGGTGAGTGTTATTGTCAGGGATTCCACAGGTGTTTGAGTCTGACTGGAACACAGGGTACAAGGAGGGAAGTAATAAGATGATACAGCAGGAACTGGGTCTTGAAAGGTCTCAAGTGCATGACCAAGGAACGCTGGGTAGGGGTGGAAGAGTCAGGGATGGTTTCACCCAAGAAGGGCATTAGAATGGAGTCTGGAACAATGAATTAGGAGTTCACACTGGTGTTTTCAAAAACATTCCAAAATCAGGAATCCTGTTCAGCTTTGCACCTTACTAGTTGAGTCCCCATGGGCCATCCACCCAGTCCCCCTATTAGTTTATCTGTAAGATGAAGGTAAGAGACATGTGAGAATTACTAATATCCTATAATTTCCATAAAGTAGTAGTTCTAACATCTGCATCTGGTGGAAGATGTGGCCCCTTTCCTTCTGGGGAAGAATAAACACATAAACCCAGGCACAGCTCTTGATGAGGAACTCTTGGCGTGAACTAATCCAGCACTGTGCTTGGCACATAGCAGGAGTTCGGCAAATGTTGTTGACAGATGAGCCCATGTCCTCCCTTCCCTGGGGACCTTTCTCACAAAGAGATTCTCCAGCGTCTGGGTCTGGCAGGCAGATGTCTGCCTCCTGACATTGGGGATCAGAGGATGGTGGTAGGGACAGCTGCTGTGATTAGAGAGGGCTCTGTTTCCCTGCTGTGGTGAGATCACAGGGGGTCACAGCAGGAACACTAGGCCTCTGGTAGACTCTCTAGTCTGGTATGTGTCCATTCATCACATGAAGAAACTGAGGCTCAGGAAGAAGTGGGAAGGGGAAGCTCTGACCCACTCCTGTGTGGCCTGGGGTGCCTTTCCCTGAACCTCAGCTTTCTTATTTGTGAAACCAGGGTGATTACACTTACCTCAGAAGGCAGGTGTGAGCATTCTAGGTGTGAGTTGACTCTGTATCTGGCTTTTAGTTACTTGGGACTGTATCTCACTCTTCCAGACTGTGAGCTCCTTGAAGATGGAAGCTGTTTGTCTGTTGTGGGGCGAGGGTGGGGGACAAAAGACTACTACTTATTCCCAGCCCAGACACTCACTGTCTCTTTAAGAAAACACACCCGGAGCAGTTAGGGAGTATGCACAAAGGATTTGTGCACTATAGGATGTATGTGGGTAATGGGTATCAGGCTCAACCTTTGAGAAGGTGCCCTTTTCATCCTCTGCCCTGTTCCTAAGATTGCTCACAATAGCATTGCAGAAAACTCAGGTCTGATGGACTCTAAAGCCAGTGCTCAACACCACCACAGCAGGGAATTGTACCCGTTGTCCTTTCCCATGTCCTTCAGATTCTTCACCCACCTGGCCTACCCTCTTAGGTGTCTCAGTGTCTCCTCTCTGGTCTCACCATCTTCTCCCTCTCAGCTTCCTTCTGCCCTCTGCTCCTTATGTTTGGCAAGCTCATGGGGGAGCCTGGGGAGGCCTGCCCAGGCTTCCTCCACCCCTGCCTGTATCATGGCCTACCTTTAGCCAACCTGTATTTGTTTGTTTGTTTATTTATTATTTTTTAATCCATCAGATGTACTTTGGTTCTATTCCTGTCTCTCCTTTACTGGCTGTGTGAACATAGACATGTAAATATATTTCTCTGTACCTCAGTTCCCTCAACTGTGAAATAGGAGTGAGAGTTTTTTAGCCTATGTGAGAAGTAAAATGGTGTTGTCATGTAGAAGATAGGAGTGGGTAGTGCCACAGAGAAGCTCATTATTATTGTTATTATTATTATTTTTTATTTTTTTATCCTCACCCGAGGACATTTTTCCATATTTTGTTCAGATAGAGTAGGAGGGAGAGAGAGAGAAACATCGACGTGAAAGGGACACATCGCATGGTTGCCACCTGCACGACTCAACCAGGACTGGGGACAAACTGCAACTGAGGTACGGGCCCTTAGCGGGAACTGAACCTGGGTCTCTTTGGACTGCAGGCCGACGCTCTAACCGCTGAGCCAAACCGGCCACGGCTGTTATTATTATTTTAATGCTATTTTTACTTTATTGATTTTAGAGAGAGAGAAACATCAATGAGAGAGAACACTGAGTGGCTGCCTCCTACACACCTCCCAACTGGGGATCCGCTGGCAAACTGAGAGTGTGCCCTGACTGGGAATCGAACCGGTGACCTCTTGGTGCATGGGTCGACGCTCAACCACTGAGCCACACCAGCCAGGTGAGAGGCTCATTATTTTAAAAAGTAGATGGGGCCCTGGAAGGTTTGGCTCAGCAGTTGGAGCATTGGCCTGCAGAACAGAGAGTCCTGGGTTTGGTTCCCGCTAGGGGCACATATCAAAAAAAAAGGGGAGATGGGTATGGTGGATAGACATGTAAATTAATGTAATTATGGGCCAAAAGTCTGTCCTCATTTCTTTGGGAGAGAATGATTTCTTTATGTTTAGGAGAGGGACCAGAGGATCTGTGGAGCTGACTTGGAGACTTGAGTAGAAGTTCTTCCAGTTTGATAAGGGATAGGAAGGAATATAGATGCAATTGGTATGAAGAGAACAGTAAACAGTCTCAGACTGTGTGGGAAGAGAAAGGAGGATGTAATAGAGATGTAAAAGAGATGAGGCCAGAAGTTAAGTCAGTACCAGAGCCTGGGGGTTTTTAGTACCAGGTTAAGAAATGTGGGCTTGATCTTCCAGGCAAAGGGAACCACCAAGGAGCCTGGGCAAGGAAGAAGCTTGTTTCAGGTTTGAGGTATAGAAAGATCAGAAATGACTTGTAGAGTGGAATGAGGGTGGGGAGCAGGAAGACCACCCTGGTGGGGAGAGAATATGACACAGTTCCCAGGCAGGTGGAGAGACTGAAGAATGTGGGGAGGAAGCTAATAAGGGCAGTACTAGCTCTGGAATCTGACCAACTTGGTTCAGCTCTTGATTTCCTCTTCCATTCTTAGGGAAGATCCATCACTTTCTGAGTCTGGTTTTTTTTATTTTTTTTATTTGTGTAGTAGGATCATTGTAGCTAGCTTGCAGTGTGATGCCCCAGAATTTTAGTCAAATCATAGATGGCTAAGGGCTGGTTCCAACCCACAATAGCATTTTTTTTTTTGTTGTTAGTGCCCCACGACACCAACCACCTCCTATATATTTTCTGTCTTCACTCCAGGCCTTGTCTACAGGTCTTCCCAGCATCAGCACCATAGTGTCTGGCATAATTATGTTTGTTTTTTTTCTTCTTCTTTTTTAATCCTCACCCGAGGACATTCCTCCATTTTTTGTTCAGATAGAGTAGAAGGGAGAGAGGGGAAGAGAGAGAAACATCGACATGAAAGGAACACATCGAGTGGCTGCCACCCACACAACCCAACCAGGGCCGGGGACAAACTGCAACCAAGGTACATGCCCTTAGCGGTAACCTAACTTAGGTCTCTCTGGACCGCAGGCTGATGTTCTAACTGCTGAGCCAAACCGGCCAGGGATGACATAATTATGTTTTGTGTTTTTTTTCACTTTGTTGTATTTTTCATACTACTACAATTTCCCTCCCCAGTGCAGCTGTGTGGGGGAAGAACAAACTTTCTTCTACCCTCAATGTTCTTCTGGCTGATCAGATAATCAAATAGACGTAAGACAGATTTGCAAGAGAAAATAACCAAATTAATACATATATATATATAGAACTCCGCATACTTGAAAGAGTCAGAGATAGAAAACTAGCTTGGGTATATAAGACATCCTGAGCTAACCCGGCCAGTGTGGCTCAGTGGTTGAGCATTGACCATCCACCAAGAGGTCGCCAGTTTGATTCCCGGTCAGGGCACATGCCCAAGTTGTGGGCCAAATCCCCAGTTGGAGGCATACAGGAGGCAGCCAATCGATGTTCTCTCTCATCGATGTTTCTCTCTCTTCATAGTTCTCCCTTCCTCTCTCTCT